GATCGCTGGGCTCCAGAACCAGGCTGCGGTTGCAGATAGGTTCCTCCCTGTCAGACACTGGGGAGATTCCAAATCCTTCTCTGGAATGAGAGTGATTGCAGCCTAATAATTATTATCAGCTCTAGGCTGACTCCTCAGTAATTCAGGATTTCTGCCCTGATGGAGCCAACAAATCCAGTAGCAAGACAAATACTTTAAAGTCATGAAAGAGCTTTGGCCGGTATGGTAAGTCAGGTAAAAATCCACATCTGCTCAAAAACTGCAGGATGGGGCAGTGAAAGGGATTCTAAGAAAAAAAAGGGGAAATGCAAAGAAAAGCAGCTTTGATTTATCACAGTGACCCTTCCCCAAAGAACACTTCATGTTTGTTGTCTTCATGTTCTCATCATTCTATGTCCCCATCTGGTAAGAGTTCCTCAGGTGGAAACTGTGAGGGCTTATATGAAGATACAGATTCTAGAAGGATGTGGATTCTTCTGTTTTGTTCGCTGCAGTAACCCCAGCACACAGAACAGTAACAGGCACATGGGGGGCCCATGAGTTAACATGGGACTGAATAACCCTGGGACAGGTGTCTGTATGCCTTCCTCAAAGGTCTTGGTCATAGACATGCCTATGTCACATTAGATGTTTAATGACTCTGGCATGTTTCCATATTTTGCAGAGGTGAAGACTGAGCTACCTGACCTTAGCAAGGCAGACCAGTGGCTCAGGGGACCACTGCCCAAGTCAGATTCCATGGATTTGAATCCTGGCTCATCCACTTCCTAGATGTGTGACTTCAGAGAAATCACTTAACTCCTCTGCACCTCAGTTTCCTGATCTGTATAGATGGGGCTAACTTGGGATTCGGCTCTTCAAAAGGCTCAGCTCCAGCTGTGAAAATTAGGGGACACTGACCTTTACTTTGTCTTGCACAAGGTGTTCCAAGAGTACCTACCAGCATGTCAGAGTCTTGAAATGTGGCACGAGGAAGGAGCCCCAGGGAGGTGACACGAACAGCCAGCCTGTGGGCTGACTCAGGGTCCAGCAGCCCCTGCAGAGTCGGCATCAAGTGTTCAGCATAGAAACGCTCATCTCCAGTGGCCGTCAGGTAGGAGGCAAAGAGAAGTCCTCCACCGCCCAGGATGACCAGTGCATCCTGGGCCCGCTTCTGAAAAGAAAGAGCCCACTGGCCGTCAAAGCCAGGCTGCAGCACCTTCTTTAAACCCACACACAGAGGACATAATGACATGCCACACGAAGCAATGTCCCTAACCTTCTGCCGACATTGCTCTCCTTCATTTCTAGTCTTGCCCACACACTGGCCTCTGTAGTCAGAAGCTGTATCTATAATTCTGTTGACACACACTCATCTGGCCCTGAAAGACTCCAGGCCAGAGGTTTTGAGAGGGGTATTACTGCCCCCTAAGAGACATGTGGTGGGCATTTGGGAGAATGCTAATAGATTGAGTGTGCGGGGATCAGTACAGTCAGACATCCTGCATTGTTTTAGACTAACAGATGAATTGTCCTAGCCCTGAACAACTGTCAAATGCCCTACTGACATTCAGTAGGTAAAAAATGTCTACTCACCATCTGAGCCTAGAACCAAACTCTATTTCACCAAAGAAACACAAACCATCTCCCACCCAGTTCTCATACATATTGACTTTTCCAGGGATACAATTACCTTGTAAGTTAAGAAACTGTACTGTTTTGCACAGAACATTACCAAGAATTGTCCATTTCAGAAAACTCATCAGAAATGGTATGGTGCTTTGCTTGGGGTGTCTGACAAACGTACCTGTGGTACTAGAATTTCTAAGTAGAGGCTTACAAACACTTCACTATCTAGGTAAGTCATGCCCTAACAGTTACATATTGAAATACATCTTATTTTAAATTACTTTCGCTTCTCTTTTATAGTCCAATTAGGACATTATGATGATTTTTTTAAATTATACACAGAAAAATTATATTAAATGTAAATTTCATTTCAGGTTAATAAAGGGAGTTGCAGTGTTTTTCTTTTTTTAAAGAAGCATCAGGTCTTATTGAGTCACGAACCAGTCTCCTAGCTCAAACATGGTTCACAATACTTTTCTCTATCATTGCCCACTGCTAAGTCATTCATTCATTCAATCATTCATCACAAGTGATTGACCTCTCAGAGATAGGCTAATCAGTCTGAGTCCCTGCCTTCAGGGGGAGTAAAATTTAATGAGACAGATTTCAATGATCATGCAGATACATAGCCATGCAATTGCTATTTAGAAAAAAAGTATAGGGTAAGGAAAGAACATAAAATAAGAGGTAGAGAAAGGCTTCCTTGAGGAAGTGACGCTAACATTCAAAAGGTAAATAGGAGTTACGTAGGAGGCAGTGGGGGAAGGAAAATAGTGGAAAGGCTCTTCCCTTGGCAGAGAATGAGATGAGCCCAAGGAATGGGGGAAAAGGGAAGGTATGTTAGGAACCGAGGAGTAAAAAGATGACATAAAGAAGCCAGGAAGAGGCACAAATCTTGACCAGAATACAGATTTTGGTTTTGTTCCCTAAACAAGAAATGCTATGTGTCTTTAAGGATCACTCCTAGCTGTTAATTTACATCAAGTGTTCGTTGTCTTACTCTCAGTCTCCAGATAGGAACCCCCCTCAATGTCAATCAACAAATACCAAAAGAGGGCCCGCCCTAAAATTTTATATAGCAGGGTTGGGACCATGTCTTCTTGCAATTTCCTTACATGCTGGATGCTGCACACAATGCTCAGCGGTCATGTATTCACTGACCACCCCTTTGCCAGGTTCAGTAGGTTTGGCCCACTGCACTGAGTTCGTGCACTGCGCTGACAGTTTGGCGTCTACTCAGGCACACACGTGGTTTTTACACACTGACGAAGTGTACAAAAGCGCATGCACGAGCCTTTGCAGAGACACACAAACGCAGAGACACACACTCAGACGGGCCGACGCTCTTGGAGAGACCTCTTGTCCACACTTCACCCAGGTTACCCCTACATCCTCCCCAGTCCCTGCTCTTTCTCGCCGACGGGAGAGGCCCAGTTTCCAAACTCACTTTCAGCTGTCTCCACGCCATGGTCCTTCCGCCACTGGGCCCGCCTCTGTCTCATTTCCATTGGAGGAAATGGAGAAGAGCCCTCTATCGCCCGCCCCCAGAGCGGCCAACTCACCAATAGCCAGGGAGAAGGGTGGGGCCGGCGCTTCTTGGCGGGGCAGGCGGCTCACCCTCCGGAGGATCCTGTTGGCAGTTAGCGCGCGGGAGCGCTGGGGTGGTGGCCACGCCTTTTCCGTCTGCGCGGACCACTTCCGGCGCCTGGTGTGGGGCTGCGCAGAGGTTGGGGAGGTAGTGCATTTCGTCCTCGGTGCTGCAATCTGGGCGAAAGACTACTGACATGTTGGTTTTTCAATTCTAAACAACACAGTCAGCAATTTTTTAATCACTTTATTGATGTGCCCTAGACGAAGCGTGTATTGAGAAAGTATATATCAAGCACTGGAAAAAGAGTTGAAAAGAAGCACTGTAAACTTAAAAGAAGATTCCATCAGCTTCAGGTTTCATTTAAAAATGCCTAAAATGTATGTATGTAAGTAAAGGAAAGTAAGACTTTGTAGTTGTAAGTATCCTGCACCCCAACTATTTTGTTGCAGCACCGACTTAATGGACTCCTGTGCTCAGAAACCTTAAGTAAATGGCAAGGTCTTTTTCCTAGCATTTGAAACATTGCAGTTTTGTAGTTGCCATTCTCACTGCCTCCCAAGTACGCGCCGCTCCCCCCCCCCCCCCCGCCCCCCCCCACACACACAGAATTACTTCTCTTTATAAATAACCTTCCACTTTCTTCTACGTGTTTGTTAACTCACTTTGACTCCTCTGCCAGCATACCCATTTCATCTAAATATGGCCATCCTTACATGTTCAAGTGCTGGAAATAATTTCCTCAGTTGAACCTTCATAGATTTAAACTGTACCTCTCTAGCAACATCTTGTTTATTAACTACACTTATTGTGTCTTTACAAAGTACAACCATGTCTTTACTTCTCTGATTATACCATAAACTTGAGTTTACAGACCATACCATGTTAATCTTTCATTTAATTACTGCATTCTTTTTAAAACAGGGATGTATTGGGATCTACATTTCCGAGAATTTTTAATTTTGGTGCCCACGTTCATAATGGTTTTAAAGACTGCAAGCATTGTTAGGATAACCAGCTGAACCCTGGAGCCTGCCAAGTGATTTCAGTGCCCACCTTTATTTGTATTTATGGCCCATTTTGGCCCCAAGAAAGAAAACTGGCTAAAAACAAATGATAGATGACCTACAGGTGAAGATCAAATGACATGTATGAACAGAGGTTTCTCAGCAAGTTAAAGTGATGAGAGAATTGATTCCTCCCAACTGCGTGATGTATTCAAAAGAACCTATGTGCTTGTAGGCCAGAACCATGTGTATCTGACAAGTGACTATTTAGTTCAGCAAATTTGAATTTCACTGGTTTTCAGTTTTGTTTGTATTTAATTTGTATTCATTCTTTCATTAAATATTTATTCTTTGGCGTATATGGTTCTATAAGATTCAGGATAGAGTCCATGTATTTAAGAAGCAATACAATGATTTGAATTCATGATTTTCTTTTTTTTTAAACACAGTACATTACTTCATTTTTAGCAACATTGACTTAGATATTCATCATCCTCTGTTCCCTTACAGCTTAGATTTAGCAAATAAAGATGTATTATAAAGGTGAAGTCATACCCGGTTGTGTAGACACAGATGGTGCCCCAGCTGTAAAGGCTTTATTGATCTTTGTTTGTTTTCAGCTTATGGGAACTCCACCTGGGTCCTTAAAATAAAACCTTTTTGTCTTCTTGACAGCTTATTGCCAATTCCTAAAAGAATAATAGTAATAAATAAGACATACCCACTGAGAATATATTTTAAAAGCCAGGCAGCTTCTGAGCCTCCATACTTTTTTGTGCTCACAGTTCACAGAGAAAATGTTCTTCAAAAGAAGAACCTGGCTTTGGTTATACATCAGAACAAGTATCATTCTAGGGAGCGAGTTAAATGGTCCAGAACATCCTGGTAAAAGTAACTGTTATCAGCTTAATAGGTTTCACTGCAGCTTTGAGGAAGCAGAAAATTACTGTCATGCTCAGGGAGGATACCTTGCTTACACTTGGAACCAGGAGATTCAAAACCTCATCTGGGACTTTCTGGAAGAAGGGAAGAAGTGGTGGATTGGGCAAAATTTAATGCTGCTGGAAAAACATCAAGGAAAAAATCACCCGAGTAAGGCTCTGAGGTTTGGTGTTTATGAAGGAAACTTTTATTCTGGAACAGCAAAAATTTAAATCTGTTTTTGTATACAGAAAAATCAGTTACTTTACTTCATTACTATTATCCCTCTGAGGTATTTTCGCTTTTGTGCTGCTGCCTTTGATTTGTCTGTGTAGCAAAAATGGTGTGGTTTTCTTAGAGCCTATCAGAAGTTAACTAATATTTCACTGAAAGTATTATGCAGGATTCTGAAGTGGGAAACATGCTCACTTTTTTCCTGGTAAATATCTCTTCATCATTCTTGGCTCCAAGTTTTCTAATGAAGAAACTAGGAGAGAAATTGTTTGCCTCTTGTCTCTCTTAGATATTTTCAAGATTATGCAGCATAATCTTGTGGTCTTAGAAAAACCTTCAAGGCATTTATGTCGTGATTACCTTCACTGAAGTCTAAGTGAATTAATGCTAAGCTTTGTGATAAAGAGCACATAGTATGAAAAAAATAATCTATAATATAGGGGGGCCCTTAAATTTTCATCTATTGAAAGCTAGCAAATTTGGTTCTCATCTTTATTTTTTAATGTTTGACTTTTTATTAATGAATACCATCCCAAAAAAGTCAATAATTTTTTTTAAATGTTCGACTTTGGATTATGAAGTTCATCTGGATCTGGTCTTTCTCCTGCAGATGTCACAGCCCACAGGACCACAAAGCACACCAGATGCACTTACATGTCCAGAAAGCCCAATGGCGTCTCATCAAAAGTAGACTTGTGCTCACTAAGGCATTATTTCATTTGCCAGGCTGGTAAGTGATGAAGCCACATGGTACCAAAGACCTGACTTTAGGAACTGATTCTAAATAAGGAGAGTTTGTGAGAGCACTAGGTAGCAAGTCCATGAGTGAGAGACCATAGGAGGGGTGCAAGGATCTTGATTTTCATGATGCTGATTAGTGTCAGAAACTTCATTTGGGGTGACTTCCTTATGCATCCCACTCTGGTAGTCGGGAAGAGCTGTGCCTTGATGTTCCCTCATTGCTTGACTTGGGTGGGGCGTGGGAGAAAGTGTATTATTAGTAAGCCAAGTTTTCGACATGTAAACCCCTAATCCATTCAGCACTTGGGCTTTAGAGGGACAACTAAGAAGCAAGGGAGGAAAAGAAAATATGGTGAAGAAAAACAAGATGATGAAGGGTGAGGAGATTTTCATCAGAGGTTTGCGTGTTCACAAGTAAATCAGAGTTAAGGTGCGTGGGAGGGGTTGGATGGTTTTCGTTTTTGTAATTAAGCAGTGTTTTTCATGGTGCATGAAAGCCTGTACCCCTTGGCTCAGTGAGTTCTTGGAGACTTTGTGATGTCTCAGATTTTCTAGGTAAAAATTTTGTTTCACTTTTTAAAGTCACAAATACATTCTTATGAAAATAGAAAGCATGTGTGGGTGCTTCTTAAACAGAATACGTGGCAATATTTATCGCAAGAAATATTTCTCAATTATAGTATTCTTCAAGTACTGGGTATTGATTGAGAGGACCTGATATTTCAGTATAATTAATTTCTAGTTTCCAATCTCTCATTCTTACCCTTTCAAGCTCTTTGTGATATTTTTGTCCGGTTTTGCCATTATAGCATCATGCTATTGGTATTGAGGCCAAGGTCGTGAATCTAATCTCTGCATGAGTCTAGTGGTCGTGTGTTTCATTCTCACAAATTGCATCCCTCGTATTGGCCATTGTACAGTTGTGAATTGTTTTTCGTCATCTCCAGGACTGGAAAAGCAACTCCTAAATAGCCTAAATGACGGTGACTATTGTATCCATATTTCACTCTCCAAGAGTTGGGTTTTCACACATCCTCAGCAACTCTTGGTTTTGGAGTGAAAATGTATTTTCCGATATCATCATTCATGTACTTCCAGGAGATTACTGCTATGAAATATAGAGTTTGTGCAGACGATAATCTCAGATAAGAAAATAACTCGATTTAGTTCATCTAAGCCAATTCTGAAAATTCTGAACCTGCATTCCCATCAGGAGAGGAAGTATGTTATTGCAGCTAAGCACTCAGGCTCACAAGTTCATGCGTCAGAGCCCTGAGCTCATGTCTCGTTTCTGTGACTTTCCAGTTGTGACTCCTGGGCAGGCAACTCAACTGGGATGCTCTGTGCAACCCAGTTTTCTTCAAAGGTTTGTTACCGGAGTTAAGATAATACATTGAAATATTAGAACAGTGCCTGGCATAATACTGTAACTACTGCTGTTAATATTATATTATTGTGCAGCTTCTATTTTTGTTCAAAGTTTATTTTCTGCTTCTAGAGAGCTCCACATTCATGTCAAAGGGAAAGCACTTTTGGAGAGCCCACATGGCTAGTTACCTTTAAAACTAAAGTATCTGCACGATGTAATTGCTCAGAAGTATTTTCAAATAACTGTTGCTGTCACAGTGTTTGTACATTTTTGAATTTAAGAAATGCCTCTTCCAAGATAACATGTTGGTGGGAGAAGTATTTTAAATTTGTTCCTTAAAATTAAAAAAAGAAGTCTAATGCTTTGTATTACCATACAGTATTACTGAGGTTACAGATTGACTTTTGCACACTGGAATCATTGGACTCAGGATTTTTCTTTATTTAAAAAAAAGCTCTTAAAGATTAAGCTCACATATAAAATTGTCCCTTCCTAAGACATTTTTATTTTCAGAGTGTCAGAGTAAGAAGTAATAGTTTGTATTTAAAGTGGCATTGTACCCCTGGCCTGGTGGCTCAGCTGGGTAGAGCATCATCCCACACACCAAAAGGTTGTAGGTTTGATTCCCCGTCAGGGCACATACCTAGGTCATGGGTTCAATACCCAGTCAGGGTGCTTATGGGAAGCAACCAATTGATGTTTCCCTTTCACATCTCTCTCTCTCTGTCTCTCAAATCAATTAATATATTCTCAGGTGAAGTTTGTTTTTGTTTTGTTTTGTTTTTAAGTGGTAATAAAAAACCACTTAAAAAACAAACAAACCACTGTTTGTTTGTGTTGTAATAAAGTTGGTATTCAGCTGTATGTACCAAGGCCATTGTACTGGTTGTGAAAACTGTAAAATACTTCCATGCATTGGTAGAATAATAGTATAAGCTACTTCAAACTACTTATCATAGGATGACCTGACAGCCGTTAATAAATGTAGCTCTGTCCTGTCAACATCTGAAAACTGTTCCCAGCACCGTCTGCCATTTTGGATGAGGCCATGTTGTTGCACATCCTTTGAAACACTCTGTGCTCTAGGAGAGTCATCGTTTATCATTATCCTCCAGTTATACACGTATATTTGCTGCTACTTTCTAAATAATTTAGTGTTGGCTTTTTTCTTGTGTAAGTAGTAAATGTGTGATGTTTTGATATTTATAAATTCAGTAGTTGGTAATAAAGTAGTAAATACAATTTTCCACAACCCCTAGTGAAAAAAATGGATCCGGGAAATAATCACGAATGACTGCTAACATCATAAAGAGACAGATATTACGTGACTCCTGATGGAGTATTTGACACCACCTACTAAGTATTTTTACAAAAAAATAGAACTTGAATATGAGAGAGCCTCTGGCCAACCATTCACATGAATATTAATGATAGCTTTATGTGTAATAGCCCCAAGCTGGAAACAGCCCACATGTCCTTCAGCAGGTGCAGGGGTAAACAGCCGTGGTACCCTGGGCATAAACAGGTATGTCCACATTATGAAACACTAGTCAGAAATAAAGAGAAACAAACTGTTGATACATATAACAATATGAATGGATCACCAGAGAATTATGCTGAAAAAAGCCAATCCCAAACAGTTACACACTGTATGGTTCCATTTATTTAATATTTTTGAAATGAAATGACCAATTATAGGAACTGAGAACAAATTAGTGGTTGTCAGGGGCTAGAATGGGAGGGAGGGCAAGAGGGAAGTAGGCGTGGCTACTGAAGGGCCACAGGAGGGATTCTCATGATGATGGGAAATTTTTATCTTGACAGTGTCAGTGTCAGTTTCCTGGTTATACTGTACTTTTGCAAGATGTTACCCTTGAGGGGAGTGGAATAAAGGGAACAGCATCTCTCCATTATTTCTTACAGTTATCTATAATTATCTCAAAATAATAAGTTTACTTTAAAAAAAAGAAGGAGAAAATGCACCAGTGTAAGTATGCACATCACTTCTGAAGTGCCAGAGAGTATTCTTGCCAAAAAATGGAGAAATGCAAATTAAATATAAACTGAAACACCACGTCCCACTTATGAGGTTGGCATAAATTTACAAACTTAACATAGTCTGTTGGTAAGATTATAGGGAAGTAGGCATTCTCATTGAATTGTTAGTGGGAATGCAATAAGATGCAACCTATATGGAGGAGAACTTGGCAATTTCTAGCAAAATTACATACATATTTAGACTTTGAGCCAGCAATCCTGCTGCTAGAAATCTACCTGCAGAATTACACTGGCACAAATACAAAAAGACGCAGGTGTAGGTTCTTTACTGTGGCTCTATTTGTAAGAGCGAGGAGAAGAGACAGCCCACACACCCTTCAAGAGGGGAATGGTCGTAAAGAGAAATAAGAAAGATCTCTATGTACAGCAATGGGGTTATCTTTATGTTTTTCCTTTTTAGTGGAGAAAAGCAGGCTGTAGAACAGTTATATACAGTATGCTACTTTAAGAAAATTCATTTACGATATGAATATACATACCTCCACATATGTAAACAAAGCAGAAAAAAAAAACATACTAATGGGTGTGATTACCTGTGGGGGAGGGAGGGAGTAGGACAGAAAAGACAGAGATGGAAGTTAGACCTTTCTCAATGTACCTCATTTCATAGTTTTGACATTGGAACTCTACACATGTTTTATGTAATTAGAAAACAAATTTAAAATGAAAAAAAGCAGTCCCTAAAAATAAAAAGAGAGCAGGAGCGGAATTAGGTGCACAGTTTAGATACTTTTAAGGGAATTTTGCTCACGAGCAGGAATGAAGCTATATGTACCTAATTCCTGAGGCAGTGTAAATTAATTGGTGGGGCTTTTAAGACAAGAAAAACAGTGCATTAGGACAGTGTTCCTGATCCAGCTCCAGGGGTGCACTTCCTGTAGGAGCCTGGCCAGCATGTAGTAACGGGAGGAAGGGCGGTGTCTGTGGGTCCAGATGCTGGCAGGTGGATAATTTGGTGGTGAGGGTCTGCGAAAGGGACTTTTAATTGCTTCCATTTTCTCCTTGAGACAGAAAGTAAGGTTATCACTTGACCTGAGAATGAGAATCAGGGAAATGCCTAGATGTTGGAGATTCGGGTAGAAGATGAAGCGGGAGAGGGTAATTTAGGAGAGTGGGAGCAGGGGTAGACGCGGGGAATGCAGTATGGCTGCCAGGCAGTGCAGAGGCAGGCCCCTGGGTTCCTGATCCCAGTCGAAGCCGAGACAGAGTCAGTGGGGTTGTGCGATTTTTCTCTAGCCACTTTTCAGCAGCGAGAGGAGAAACAGCAGACGCCCTTGAGGCACGTTCAAGAACATTATCACCAACCTTCTGAGCTCTTTTATCTCTACCAATATGAAGTATAGACTACAAAGGAGAATATTATGCTTAGAATGTAATTTCTCTAAATGGCCTTCATTCTATCTCGTCAGTGTAGACCCAATTGGTGGACCTAATTTTGAGATGTTGGGTCGTGTAAGGTGGTGGTTGTGCTCCAGAGCAAAAGAGCTGCTTCAGAATTCCTACATTATTGATCTTTTTAAAAAAACATGTTGATCTGTAATTTGTGTTTTCTTCATGATCACATATGTGCTTGTAATGCATATTTTATAGACTTACACTTAGCTGCATCCTATAAATTAACTCCATGTAGATGCCTTTTCAGACCAAGATGCAAGTTATGAAATAAATGGAAATAATTCTCATTGGCATCCCAAGAAGACAAAAAGAGAAGTCACAACACCAATAAACAAAATCTCAGGTAATGTGTAGCAAAATCAATTCCTGTCTTAAAGGGTGCACAGACAGTTAATGCTGAAATGTATCATCATTACAGGTACCCAATAAATATATATTGTTTCTATTTTGTCTGATCTTAATATTACAGTCTTTGCTTTCATTTTATAAATTCTTAGTCTCATGATATTCCTTTGGCCATCCTGTTTTCACGTATGACGAAATAAAAGACAAAGGTTTTCCCACAAAATGTTCTATCAAAAAATAGAGGCCTCTTTTTTTCATTTTTTAATTTTATTGTTCAAGTACAATTACCTGTCTGCCTTTTAAAAAATAGAGGCTTCTTGAAGTCCTTGAAAAGTCTGTCAAGTTGTGGTGTTCTCTCTCAAATTTTTTTTTAATTTGAAAAACAAAATCTATTCAGGGAAGATGTATTAGCCCGAAATGACCTCAATCAATATCAGTGTTGGATGATTATAGAGACCACCTGACAGGATGAGTACAACAAGAGACAAATTTAAAGTGGACCTAGTGATTATTCTTATGATCTCATAACATCAGTGTTAGGTGTCCTTGTCAGCAGGCCCTTTAAGTATCCCTTAAGAGAGCAATTTGGAAAGTGTCATTTGAATGTAAGTCTAAGGAACAAATTAAGAAGCCCAGATTGGTTGTTACAGAATAGTCCCGGGCATGCACAGCATAGGTAATGCAGTCAGTAATGGTCTGATGACTGTGTGGTGTCAGGTGGGTGTGAGATTCACCGGGACAACCACTTGGGAAGCTAGGTAATGTCTGATTACGGGGTGTGCACCTGAAACTAATAGAATGGTACGTGTCAACCGTAACTGAAAATACAACAGGATTTTTTAAAAAGAACAGATGTAAAAGTCAACTTTTCTGAATGCTTCGGAAACAGGTGCTTGTGGGTTGGGGTAAGTGTTTAGTGATATAGCCTTAGATGGAATTAAAGATGAAATTTTGTTAAATAACTCCAAAAGTTCTTCTGATTATAATTAAAGCAATGATGATGAAGATGCATTTGAAAAATCTGAATACATCTTATGTCATGAAATGTGAGTTTCATGAGAGCAATTTTTATAAATTACACATATCTATATAACATGTGATTTTAAATATGCCTCTATAAAACAAAATAAGTAGACATGTGATGTTCCGCCTACATCCTTTAAGTTTATATAGTCAAGTTTGCCAAAAAATAACTTTTAAAAAGCCTCCTCATTGAGAAAAGAGGAGATTGCCCTACTTGGGGGATTACTGTCCATTTACTCACATATATATATGGTTCTTTAACAATTTGTGTCACTTTGCTTTAAGTGCATCCCTATTAAATTTCACATAAATGCATCTAATTATTTCACTCATCCTGAGAATATTTTTATAATCGTTATCACATTTAAATTGATCTTAACAGATACCCTTTCTTGCCTTGTTCTATGCTTTCTGGTTCTAATACTTCCTTGCTAGTTTCTTTTCTCTTTTGTTGAAATTTTGCTCTTCAGTATTTTTGTTTTAATTGTTTATCTTTAAAAAGTTCTTTCTTTTAAAAACACATTCTTATACATATTTTTTCTAATTGGCAAGCTCAGGGATGAAGGTCTCTTTTGAAACCGCGTCATCGTGTTGAAGGAATGCAGCTTATACTAGTTTTTCTCCTCCCCACCCCTCATTTCCTAGATCTTATTAGTATATTCTGTGGGTTTTATTCAGGTTACTGTTATATCGAATTACTATTTTTATATTATACCACTTCTCTTAAGAATACATTTTTCAAACTTTTATCAAAGCCAGATTTCCCACAATAATTTAGAACTTATTTCTATTTAACTGTTTTTATATTTATCTGCAGTCATCTTATATCATAACTTTACTTTTCTCTTAAGTTCTTAATTTTATCTCATTTCTACAATTGTTTTTCCAAGAAAGATTGACTGGTGGAAATATTTTGGGAACTTGCGAATAGTCAAAAGGGGTCTTTTTTGTCCCTTCCCAAAGTTAAAAGAAAATTCTCCTCAGTTTACTGATTTAGTAGGCTTTTATATTCAGTGATTTGTGAACTGGGCATCATTCAATCTAGCAAATAAAAAGGAGCTCTGAAGAGCTGGGCGAGGTGAGAGATTTTTATAGACTTAAGTGAGCAAGGTTACTTTTCTTGTTTGGAACACAGGGAAGTCTTGGGGCCAGGTTATAAACATCTGCTGAACAGGCAGGCACTGATTGGTTGACCTAGGCCTGCCATTTCTGGAAGAGCCAAGCCTAGAAACTTTGCTAAGTTTTGGTTTGCTGACAAGAGGCTTAGCATGAGTAACTCCATCTCGGGCCTAATCTGGTTACTTCAACACCAATAAGCCATAGGTTAGCAGATATATAAGTTAAAACACAGGATCAGTGGCTGTATATTCTCCATCTCTTTCCTACTATTCTTTTAAATGAAAATACTCATTTCCTACTTGTAACCTTTTCTGTTGCATTCTAGAGAAATGCCTCACATTTATCCTCCATATGATTGATTTGATTTTTCCACATAAATTCTGTGAACCTTCAATGTGGATTTTGAATTTCTACAGCAATTTTAGTTTTCTTGAAATCCTCTAATATCATTTATTTTACCTTTAATATATTTCATTCTTATGTATTGTAGCTTCAGTTGATTTGCCTTTGAGACTTTCTGTTTCTAGTAAGGATGTTAATTAGCTTTCTGAAATTTTTTGAATTTTGCTGTCAGTAATTTTCACAGGTGTACTTTCCTTTGAGTCCTCTGGATTCAATTTCCAGGTTCTATGATATTCACTGGCTCTCTTTTAGTTTGATTTTTTCCTTATCTTTGAGGGCAAGCTCTGTCCAAATGCCATGATTGTCAAGAAAACAAAAACTCGGGTCACCCTTAGTTCAGCAACTTGTTGGCTCATCTAGTGAGCATGACCCCCTTTCAAATCTGCCACTGAAGTCCAAGGTCAGCTCCCTGTCCCCAGCAAGCTGATAACCCTGATCCAAGGTGACATTTCACTCAACTTTACCTCCATTGCTTTAGCTTTCACACTGTTAGTATTGCTTTATACCCATACTCCTGATGAAAAAATGAAGAGGTTAAATCATTTGCTCAAGGCTTTATAGTTACAGGAAAAGGCAAATCAGATCTGGACTTCAGGTCTTTTGAATCCAGTTTCCTTGTTCTATCCTCCACCTGTTTCCCTTAACGGAAAGACATGGCATCTGATCAGAAGAATATCTCAGAACTGGCCTTGCCTAGCAGTAGTAGCTGCAGTGATTCAGCTACTGAATATACATGTCAGTCCTGTGAACAACTGAGGGGATGTTACAGGCAAAGTAGACTTGCTATAGGCAGGCATATTGAATGGTCTTTCTAGACACTCGTGCTCTGGAAGATATCAGCCTAAGTTAATAGCAAACAGGCATGTGAACACGCCAATCCTGCCTTCAGAGCATGGTTTTCTTACTGGAAAATGTGGAAAGAGAATGAAAGCAATAATGGTAATCTGGTAAAATGTTGTAAATGATCATTTCTAAAAGTCTATGAGAAACATATTCTGATTTATTAATAATGAGATCCTTTTTGTAAAATGACGAGACAAATATTTCTGCACTAATGTTTATATACAGGCACCTTTATGGTTGATTTTATTTAATATTTATTTTTATACCAAGAGTTTTGAAAAATAAGCAAAGGGATGAGACATTAGTGACTTATAACTCTTTAGCTTCAGAATTCTAGCTTGTCCTCCAGATTACCAACAGTGAGAAATAATCACTCTGGTTTTCTATATGATTTGTATTTTTAGCCAAGAATAACAAATGAAATAGGGAGAACTGTTTCTATCCTAGGCTTTTACTTGAACTTAATCTACTTTCTTTTTTCTACAGGAGCCACCCATCTTTCAACCACATGTCACCAGCCTGTCCATGCTAACCCTGTAAGTACTTGCCTTCACAGTGGACATCTGGGAATATTATTGTCTCTTCCTTTCCCAGTGGGTCCTGCCAGAACTCTGTACTCTGTGTCCTAAGCTGCTCTGAAATAGTTTTCTGATAAGGAAAGGAAAGTACTTAAGTGCAGGAGAGAATCATGTTTAATGGATTATTTATTAAAGAAGATTGTAAAGTTGATCTTTGGCTTTCTTGATGGTATTTTTATCTTTTCTTGGTTGTTTGTTTATTCCCTGCTTCATTCCAAAAAGGATTTGTGACATCTCACACAAATATACAGTTCAATAACATTGTTAATTTTTTTTAAAAAGAAAACTGTAAGAGGAAAATATACGTGGAAAAACTGCATAATCCATAAAATTTCACCTTCAAGAAATTTCTTAGCTTTCATGCCTTGAGACCTCCATAGAAACCTTTCAGTAGGTGTCTGCATATAGATTTACATTTGGTCCACTGCAAAAAAAAAAGTGTCTTTAGCAGCGTAAAAGAGAAGGAGGATGAAATTAAAATCCCTTATGTCGTTATTTCTCAAGCAGTGTTCCGCAGAATAACAACCAACATTGTTTAAAGCATCGCCAGAAGGAAAGAAAACAAAGGTTTTTGACTGCAGGACTTCTCAGAGCTTTTCATATCCCCAAACCTGACCCCTGCCCACCGTCTGCACCCCAGTTACCCCAGTCCAAGCACCTTCACTCCCCTCCGAACTTTGCATCTTTCTCCTGCTGAACTCCCTGCTTCTGCCCTTGGCTGCTCTCTATCGGCTCCCAGCATAGCGGTCAGGGAGCCTTCACAACCCAAGTCAGGTCAGGCTGCTGCTGCCCGCAGCGCCCAGCCCCACATCTTCTCTCATTCAAAGTAAAACCACGCTCTTCCCAATTTCCTGCTGCAGGACTTGCTCTCCAACACCCTTCCCTCAGTCCCCCTCCTCCCCCCACCCCCGGATCCTTTTTATCTCCTGTGCTCCCACTTTTGCTCATTTAGCTTTTTTTGTTCTTCCTCAAACAACACCAGCGGTCTGTAGACTCAGGGCTTTTGCGGTTCTCAAATGCCCTTCTCCAGTATATGACAGCTTTCCCTTTCGCTTAGTTTAATGCTCAGCAAAAATGCCCTTTCCTGACATCCAAGCACCCTCTCTGAAATGTGCCCTTTCTCTTCATCTTCTGCTTACTCCTGTTCTTTTTTCTTCATGGCACTAATCGAATACATGATGTAATTTGTCTCTCCGTCTCCACCCCTGAACTGGCTGCTCAGTGAGGCTCACTGGGCCCATCGCTGTATGTTTGCTTCCCCAGATCACTGCTCAGCTCGTGGTAGATGTCTAATTATAATTATTGAATGGCTGACAATAAATAAACTGAGGGAAACTGTGCATCTCAAAGAAGGTAATACCATGTGCCACTTTCTTCAAACTGTTTGGGCACAAGATCTTTTTGAGAGAAATGCCTATTAATATCTCACGGGGCCTGGAATTTACACAGCAGTTTTGGAAACACTGCCTAATTTTCATTATTTGGTTAAAATCAGACTTAGCCTTTTCCTTCACATATTTTTGTCTTTTAGTCCAAGACCCTGTGCCATTCTGTCAGCCCCTTTGCTTCAGTCCTACCCAGCGTCACACAGCAGGGAATGCCAGTCACGTCTGTGCCCACCAGCCAGCTTGTCCCTGTGGTGGCAGAGTCCACCCGGCCTGCACCTGTAACTCACGCTGCAGAAGCTCCGGTAGAAGTCACTTCAGGCCCCAGCAAGGACTGGAGTCCAGATGTCTCCACCGCTCATCACAGTACGTCTGATCAGGTGAATGTGAAGCCCGGCAGTCCACACCGGGTGCATGTGTGACACTGAAAAGGCACTTTTATCCCCTCCTTCTGTTGTGCTGATGTTTCAGCAGCAGAACTGAACCTGCGAGTGACTGACAGAAAGCATATATCCCTCTGAAAAGCCAAACCCAGACAAGTCCATGAAAATATTCCACAGTGGGTTTTATACCCATTTCGGTGTTCAGTGTGTCGTTAGTAGTTAATCCTGTTATATGTAGGGCTTCAGGTGGGAGGAACCTTCATTCACCTGCCCCTCGTTTTTAGCAGCTGCACCCCCCTTGAACACCCCCCTCCCACTCACTATCCCAAATCTGCTGTCACTTCGGTTCCCTTTTTCACACAAACCAGGGAAAAAAGGCAAAGCCACTTTAACAGTGTTGACTAAAGAAAATCATCCTGCTTTTCTATTTTTTTAAAAACACAAGCCCTACACAAGCCCTACGTATATGCACTCTAACATTTCCCTGTTAGAAAAGAACTCTGTTTACTCTGGATCTGCTTTCAGTGTTAATGGGAGCCAGACGTTCACTGTTACTGTCCCGGTGAGCAGGGTGTTCTGCTGGGAAAAACTGATCTACGGTAGCCTAAACAAGAGCGTTGGTTTGCCTTAAGTAGAAATCTGAACTATAGAATACCCAGAAAGTCTACAGATAAACTATTAGAAATACTAAGAGAATTTAGAGATGCTGCTGAATACCAGATCAGTATACTTGTGTCATTGCCTATCAGCAACAATTGGTTAGAAAAATTGGATTTCTTTTTAAAAAGGTATAATAACGAGAACCTAAGAGTAAATCTAACTAAAGATGTACAAAGTTTCTATGGAAATCACCAAAACCCTTTACTAGAAGATATTAAAGAAAGGCTAAGTAAATGCAGAGATCTACAGTGATTCAGCCCAGGCTATACATTCTGCTCTGAAACATCAAATGCAGCATCCTCAGCGACCTGCCTGACTAGAGCGAGAATGGCATTAAATGAGCTCTGACCTGCACTGGCAAACGGGCAGTCGGGGGGTAACTTTGTCTCACTTATATCGTCATTCCTTCTTGTTTACACCTCGGTCCCAAAGTTTAAAACCAAAATTGGGTGGTCCTCAGCTCTAAGATCTCTCTATAACTGATCCAGCCTCCTACACACCCTGTGAATTAGGCATGACCCTATTCAGTTGCATGGTCCAGGAGGGCAGGATCCTGCCTGACCTTAACTGCTACAACTCCTGAGCCTGGCAGTAGACAGTAGGCATTTAATAAGGACTTGCTGAATACACAGTTGAATTAAGCTGTAAGTGGATTGTTCTCTAGAAATCAGACCAAGTAGTTGGTATAACAGATTGTCTCAGGATTGCCTTGGATGTCCAGCTCAAAAGAAGTAGCCTCTTAAGCTTTGGGACTCTTTCTAGTGTTCTGGGTTGGTTTGTTTGTTTTCTCAGGGAGGTGCTCTGCCTCCTACCTCCTGCTATGTGGTATTTCAAGGATTTCCCTCTTGAACGTGAACTCGTTAATTGAGAGAAATACAGTGGGTAACTTGAGGGGAGAGACATACTTCTGAATAGAAAAGCTTTTGTTGTTTTAAATTCTAGGTTTCCCACACTTTTGATCATGGCAATAGACTTAAACTTAGTCTTTTTTTTTTTAAATAATTTATTTATTTTAATTGTTGTTCAAGTACAGTTTTCTGTCTTTTACTCCCATCCCAGCTCACCGCCCCCCCATAAATTTACTCTTATAAATCTTATTTCCAGACTCATTTGTCCTTGGGCCAGTCATTGTATAACCTTGTTATCCATTTCCTCTACTGTGTGGGAGAGGTGAAAGTTAAATTCTATCTATTTGCAGAAAACTTCTGAAAGTAATACATGTTACAGACAGCCTGCGATTCATTGAACTTATAATGTCATCAAAGGTGAACTCTCATCAAAACATCCCAAAGTACTAAAATATGATAATTATACATAAATAATTTTGACAAAATCCATTGTTCCCAATAGGTCATTAATGAAATAGCATGGAACTTTAACACAGCAGTCCATGCTTTACCAGCTCACAACAAACTACAGAAAGCTTGTGCGGTGCTGCGGAAACTGATGGCCTTCATCCTGGGCCTTCCTCAGTCGGCTCAGGTAAGCAAAGGCTGGTGTGGAAGGAACAAGATGTGAGAGAAGGGAAAGTGAAAAACAGAAAGAAGAAAGTGTAATAAAATGGGAAACACATAATCTGGACATTGTGCTCTGTGCAGAATTCAACATTATAAAACTTTCACAGAGACTGAATTGAAATATTAGGAAGTATATTTGTACCTTTGAATCTGAAGAGTGTGGAAAAATGTGATCAGTAATGACTTTCTCATTTATCACCTTATTGCCTTTCTGATACATGTGTTAGGAGAAATCATGGGAGACAAAAATCGGTCCACACCTTGCCGTAGCACAGCGCAGCCTGGAATCAGGAATCAGTACCCTGTGATATCTGCATTTGTTGCAGCCATGTTTGCCAGTGTTACTTCCTCATAATTATGCATGCCTCCTTCTACTCCCAGACGTAGTAAAATGAGGGTGGTAGGATTAGCGAGCACTTTAATTTTTCTGTTTTCCATTTCCTGTATTTTCAAATACTCTACAACAAGTATATAAATGCAATCTGTATTGGTTTATTTGAACTTGTTAATTACAGAAATGCTATGTGCCTGTTATCTAAAAAAACTAGAACAAAAGCACATAAAATAAAAGGTATTTTCTAGGTGTGATCACTTTTACTAGTTTAGTCTTGATCTGCTGTGCATAACCTTCCAAACATTTTGATGCAAACACAAGTTTGTTGGTTTATTTTAATAAAAATAGGATTAAAGTTTACAAATATTTCTGCTCCTTGATATTTTTACTTAGTACTGTGTCATGGTTGTCTTTTCATGTCAGTACACATAAAACGAACTCCTTATTCTTAATGTTTGCTTGGCTATTTTTCATTTGCAAATAGTATATCTGTGGACATCTCTGTACCTACAACTCTGAGTACTCCTGCAGTATTTCTGTGGGGTAGGCACTAGACATAGAATTGATGGGCTTCTAAGTTTTCAATAGGTGACTAAATGGCCCTTCCCTCCTACAAGCAACTATTTTACATTCTGACCAACCTTTTCCCCACACTTTCATTTTTTCCAATTTTACAGGCAAAGGGGAAAAAAAGAAAAGTATTTTATTGACCACTAAGGTGATTGAACATCATTTTTTATATTTATTGGCCATTTTTATTTCTCCTCTGAGTTCCTTCTTCATATCCTTCATCCATTTTCCCCATTGAGTTACTTGACTCTCTAGTTGTTTGTCAGAGAGCTTTGTTTATTGTTGGTATTAGCCTTCTGTTAGATGTGCTGCAAATATTTTGGGCCCATATCTTATTTTGTTATTTTATATTTTATTTATTTTTTATTTATTTTAAGATTTTATTTATTTTTAGAGAGAGGGGAAGGGAAGGAGAAAGAGAGAGAGAGAAACATCAGTGTGGGATTGCCTTTCTCACACCCCTTACTGGGGCCCTGGCCTGATATCCAGGCATGTGCCCTGACTGGGAATCGAACCAGCGATCCTTTGCTTCACAATCCAGCACTCGATCCACTGAGCCACACCAGCCACAGCTTATTTTTGTTTATTGATTTAGAGAGAGAAAGAGAAAAAGAGAGACAGAAACATCGATTTGTTGTTCTACTTATTGATGCACTCATTGGTTGATTCTTGTGTGTGCCCTGACCTTGGAGTACCAGGATGATGCGCTAACCCGCTGAGCAACCCAGCCAGGGCCATTATTTTACATTTAATTTTTTATATCTTTTACTTTGTAGTTTTTAATAAATGTAACTTTGAAAATAAACAACGTTTTAAAACACAAATAATAGTACTTACAGTGAATATTCAGTAAATATCTGTCAGTTGGTTTATGTGACTTGTTTTACATGAGAACAACCTACAGAAAGGAGAACTGGTGTTTTTTATTTCATATAGAACTTCTCCTTGATCTCTGTTTTGTCTATGCTTTTGAATGCTTTTGAGGTCCTCTATGCAAAGGGATAGTCTACTCAGTACTTCAGTCAGCACTGTTCTTTTCTTCGGCATTTCTTTTTTAAGCTTAGTTTTTTAAATTGGATATTTGATTCACTTACCACTCAGAAAGGGTTGTGTCAGTTGCTTAGAGTAACCTGAAATACAAACCCTCCCCCAGGTGATATGTAATAGTGTATTTTCCTTCCCTGACACGTCGTAATATTGCTTCTTATAAAAAGTATTTGCAATGTGTAAAGAACCTTGAACTCATTATCAGAAGAACACATACATTTAAAACATTCAGGAAATGTATGTTTGCTTTTTAAATTTCCCAGGTTGACGTTGTCGACTCCCTTATTTACCTGACTGAGCAATTACTGAAAAGCCCTTTTGAGAATAACAGCACTCTGGACTTCAAAATTCCTGTGACTGTCTGCCTCTTTCACTCCCTCAGCGATGTAGTGAAAGCCGGTAAAGCAAGCAGGCCGAGCTCCAAGCACGACATTGAGCAGGTAGGTGCACTATATGCCGGTGGCCAGCTCTCCTTGGAAAGTTTTAATCTTGACGGGTCCAGGTAGCACACAGCCTCTCCCTGGACTCTAAAACAGAACCCAGCTAAGTCGGCACCACTAAGAAACTGCTCTGTTGAGCCTGTTCTGGGTCCTCCTTTCTACCCAACCAGTGAGCCAAGACCACCTAATGCTGTAAATCTGGTGAAAAGGACTTAGTAAATGCTTGGCACACAGTGAGCACTCAGTAAATCATATTCATTATGCACATGAGATGTCCAGCGTTATTAATCTGTAGGAAAATGCAGATCAGACCACAATGAGATTCCACTTCACATCAAATAACAAGTGTTGGCAAAGAGGCAGGGAAATTGGCACTCTCACACATAGTTAGATTATTAGATGATATAGCTACTTTGCGAAGCATTGTGACAGTTCCTCAAAATGTTAAAAATAGAATTACCATGTGACCTGCCAGTTCCAGTCCTTGGAATATACCCACATACATCCACACTGAAATTTGTACAATCATATTCATAGAGGTATTATTCAGATAGCCAAAAAGTAGAAACAACCTAGATGTCTGTGATCTGATGAATGGATAAATAAAATGTGGTATGTCCTAAGATGGGGTATTGTTTAGCAATGAAAAAGAATGAAGTACTGATACATGCTACAACACAATGAACCTCGAAAACATTATGCTAAATGAAAGAAACCAATCACAAAAGACCATATATTCTGATTCTTTTTCTGTGAAATGTCCCAGAGAGGCAAATCTGTAGACATAGAATATAGAAGTGTCCACTTAGGGTTAGAGGCAATGAGGACAGGAGCATGGGCAGTGGCTGCTACTGGGTCCTGCGTTTATTGTAGGAGAGAGAAAAATACAGTAAAATTAGATCATGGTGCTAGTTGCGCAACCCCAGGAATATAGCAAAAAACTTTGAATTGTACACTCTAAATGGGTGAATTGTATGTGTGAATTTCATTGCAGTGAAGCTTTTATAAAATAAAATATAAAAACCCATCAGAGTAGATCCAGGGCAGCTTATATCGTGGGTCAAAGAAATACATATTTCCTTGGGTGGCCCTCTTACTAATATAAAGGATGATGAGTCGTTGGCCAAACTACTAGTATTTTCTATGGATTCTCTTCAATGAATGTCACCTTTCGTTACCTCGTTGTCAAGATCCCTGTTCACCTGCCAGCCCCCTCAAAATCGTTATTTCACTAATGCAGTACACTGAGATCACACAAGTCACGTGGTATTTCCCTCTAAATGCAGGTAGAAAATATTCTGAAAATGTCCTTGCTGGTCCTTGGAGAGATCCAGGAAATATTTGTACAGCAGAGTCAGCATTCCGAGCCCTCGGTGACTTTGACCTCCTCCGTTGCTTCCCTGATTTTGAGCAGGTAATACAGGAGGAAGGAAGGGGGAGAGTTTCGGTTTAGGTTTTTGATCTTTAGAAAACATACATAAATTGATTTCCATTTAACTTCTTTTTCATTAGGCAAAACATATCAACTTTGCCTCTGAGCTCTTACACTCTTGGATACCCAGCACCTGTGAGGTTAAGCTTCCCATCAGCTTTGGCTTTGAAGGAACTCTTGAATAAACACTCAGGAGTTAATGTTCAAGTGAGTGTGAAATTGACTCTGATCAGAATGAAAATGGGATTTGATGGCTGTAGGCGTTTGGGTGACAAGAATGCACCATGACATGTAAGCTAATCAGACCAAACAAGAGAAGATTGTTTGCCATAATTTCTAGTTCACACTGGCAGTATTGAAGTCCTCTTAAAAATGATCCAGTATAAAGGTTGGGAGTATTAAACAGACTTCTGGATTTAACTAAGTTTCTGTGTAATGATGTGAACTGAACTCTACAAAGCTGGGACTATTTGAATAATTATTGATTCAATATACCAACCTAGTCATATCAATATATTGTATTTTTTTCAACAATTACCTAACAGAAGTAGGATAGTTGCCTTATCCTGGAGGACAGAATACTCACTTCCTAGTAAATGAATCCTCTAGGTATAAAGATATAAAAAAATATAATTCTGAGGGTCATAAGTAAATGACTCGTCTTTAATTAATTAATTCTTTCTCAAATGCTCTTATAATGAGAAATACTTCATTTGAGATACTAGCAAGGGGAAAACCTCAACATTTACCATAGTTTTAGGACTGTAAGATGCACCTAGGTTTTAGAGGAGGAAAATAGGAAAAAAATGAAGCAAAAAAATGTGGTAAAATATTCAATAACCTGTCACCCCACTCCACCGCCATACCCTCCTACAGCGAGCCAGGTAAGCTACATTCGGACTATAAGACACACCCCCTTTCCTCCCAAATTGGGTGAGGGCTATGTCTTACAGTCTGAAAAATACAGTACTTTATGGTATCTGGTTACCTTATTACTTATTGGGGCATTATTTATAAATATTTCAGTAATTGATGAAACTGGAGTTTTCTTGTTTCTAGGTAACAGGACTGGCTTTCAATCCCTTCAAGGATTTTGATGACAAGAACATTGTTGGAAGCATCGGAAGTGTGTTACTAAGCTCTAATCGTAATTTGCTCAAAGTCCATGATTTAATGGAAGGTATTGAGGTATGACTTACTTATTAGGGAATACAATATTATAGAAGGGAATAGGAATCCCTGGAGAATAGCATAGAAGGACGTAGCACCTTGAAGGAAATCATTTGAGATTTATGGCAGTGTCTTTTGTCATTAACATCTTTACTTAGGAACATTTATAAATGGAGAAGTTGTTTTAGGTCTTAGACTATATGATGGGGGCCCCCCCAAACCCTGAATTTACTTATAAAATTGTGTATTTATTCTAACATGTTTAGACTTTGGTCACCTTCAAAGTACTCTCCATGTGATGCAATACACTTATTTACCAAGATGCTTTTTTGACTGCTCTAAACAGTTTTTAGACTTGTCGATTTTGATGCCCTATAGTGCTTCTGCCATTTTTTGTTTCACCTCCTCCACATCAGCAAAACATTTCCCTTTGAGGACTTTTTGAATCCAGGGAAACAAAAAAAAAAAATGTTGTTCATGGTGAGATTGGAAATGTTGATCAGGTGAATAGGGAGGTTGGGACATGGGGGTCATGCTATTTTTGGTCAAAAATGACCACTCATGCAGTGTGGGCAGGCGCATTCATAAATCACCCATCATGAAATGGGCAAATGCGTTGAGTCTTCAAAAAAAGAAAAGATTCACCAAAGCCGAACGCAGCCTTTCACAACAGTACCAGCTGGTATGATGATACAGATGGGTTCCTAGAACACTCACCTAGCTGGGGAAGCCTATACTACAAGGGGCCCTCCCTCCAGAAGATAACTCTGGTTTTGGGGGGCTCCCACCTCATATACTCCTCCTTAACCCCTGACATTGTGTTACCCACTAAAATTCAAAGAGGAAGAAATAGGACGTTTCATCCCATTTTCATTATAAAGGAGGCTGAAAGGTAGCAATAGGTGGATGGGCCATCTTAAATGTCAAGACTGATTCACTGCTTCTTATTCTAGATCATTCTCTGGAGAAATGCAAGCATGGAAACCTATGCCACCAACGTCAACCTGAGCACAGACCATTTTACTGTCACAGTGAACATCACTTCCCTAGAGAAATCCCTGATCCTGTGCATAGAGCCCGAAAGTCCTGTTTCAGTGACACTCTACTTGGGGTTCCAGTATCAGCCCAACCACACTTCCTTCCACCTGAACATCACCCTTCCAAAGGCTCAGGTGCAGCAGAAAGGTAAAACCCCTCTCAGATGTCCGCAGTTTACTACTTGGCAATGCATTTTTCCTTTTCCTTTTTAACCTAGCTTTTTATTTTGAGATAATTGTATATTCACATGCAAGTAAGTATAAGAAATAAAACAGATCTCATCTACTCTTTTTTATATTTAATTTAATTATTTTTTTAAGTCTTGGCCAAGGACACTTTTTCATTACTTTTAGAGAGAGAGGAAGGGAGAGGGAAAAATACTGATGGAAGAGAGAAACATTGATTGATTGCCTCTCGTACACACCTGGACTGAGAATCATACTGCCACCCAGCCATGTGCCCTGACCAGGAATCAAACCCACAACCTTTTAAGTGTATGGGACGATACTCCAACCAAATGAGCCACACCAGCCAGGGCTCATGTTCTTTTTACCCAATTTTTCCTATGGTAACATCTTGCCTAACCTCAGGGCAATATCACAACCAGAAAACAGCATTGATACAAAGCATTAATCTTACTCAGATCCCACTACTTTCCAAGCACTCCTGTGTGTGTGTGTTTAGTGCTGTGTAGTTTTATCACACATGCAGATACATGTGAGCTTAAAGTGCATTTTTAAAAAGTTGGATTGTGGGGTGAATAGAAGGGTATATATGTTATAGAGCAAGTTTAGTAAGATGTTGAATCTGGCTAGTGATTATATCGGTGTTCACTATAAAATTCTCTCCACTTTTCTATGTGGTTGAAAATTTTAGTAATAAAATGTTGAGACTCCTGCAGAAGTAAAGTTATATTTATATATATATATTAATTCATCTATATATTTATATTTATGAACGCATACATATTTATAAATATATACAGATGTATATATAACTTTATATATATTTATAATGTATATATGCAATTACCGTTTATATTTCAACTTTAATAGTAATGCCTGGAGATATCTCAATAAGTTTGATTTAAGATCAGAATGACTACATTGTAGTTTAGAAAAGTTAAGAATTTCTGAGACATATATTAATAGTTAATAAGTTCAGATATATAAATAGTGCATGGAATATACTTGACCAAAAAATTTTAAATATAGTACTGAAAAGTCTTAAGAGCTACCCTTTTGCCTTAAAAGTATTGGGGAAAATAATCAGAATGGATAAAGCATGTTATATTCCCCCTTCCTGACAGTCTTCCCACATTGGCCAAACTTTTTTTTAAATAATTTTTCTTTTATTTTTAGAGAGGGAGAAAAAGAAGGAAACATCAATGTGTGGTTGCCTCTCACGCACCCCCTACTGGGGACCCAGGCATGTGCCCTGACCAGGAATCAAACCAGGGACCATTTGGTTCACAGGCTGGCGCTCAATCCACTGAGCCACACCAGCCAGGGCTGGCCAAATTTCTTATGCTCTCACATAGGCCTCACTAACACAGGAACAAGCACTTTACAAGTGTCTCTCCCTTTAGACAGAGCACTGGAGGCAGCAGCCATCACTACTGGGTCACCAACTACAAAGTTCTGTCAACATTACCAACAGGCTCTTTACCAAGTCAGAACATGCACTCTGCTCTTCTTGCTGATTTTGGCAATAACATCACATCATTTGGGGCTGAAAGAAATCTTTGAGATCCTTACAAACTCCTTGTTTGAAAGATAAGAACACTAGAGACAGTGGGTGACCTGCCCTTAACAGCCACCTAGTGACAGAGCTGGGCCTGAAATCAGGTGTCTAGCGTGCAGTCCAGGACTCCTTCCTGGAACCTCTGTTCCTGTCCTTGCTTTGTCCTGGGGTTTCTTCAGTCACCTAGGTCTTCTATCTACTAATTTTGGTGTGTGATGATTTCATTTTTCTAAAACTCATAATACATTCTAATTCATTAGACCTAAATTTTCACTTATCAGACAAATATGACTTTTTACTGCAACAGGAATAATCCAGAGCCCTGAATTGTATCACTGGTCATTTTTTTTAAAACCATTTATGACTCTCGGGTTATTACTTTGTAAAATTTAATAATAATAGCTCCTTCAGAAGAAAGGGTCTAATGGTATTTTTCTCCCGTGTGCAATGCAAGTGAGCACTCTGCTTCGTTCTCAGGTGAGGAGTACGCGTGGGAGTACACGTGGGTGCTGACTCCAGAGAGTCTGCAGTTCGGGGTCGGCACCTACCACATCACAGCTGCGTTGAATGAAAGCAAGGAGGGTGCTCAGCCGGCACCCACCCTGTTCTCCGTGGTCACTGCTGTCACTCAGTGCTATTTTTGGGACCGCCACAACAGCACATGGAGGAGCAGCGGATGTCAGGTGAGAAGCCGTGCCACCCCTCTGCCTCTGTTCTGCCTTAGCTGGCGTGAAACACGGTGCCTCTGTGGTCCCGGGCCCCTTAAGTCAGCCCAGGGGAAAGGAGGGCTTGCGTAGTGGGTTGGGCAAGAGTAAATCTGTGGAGCAGGCTTATGCTTTACATATGTATTTTTAAATTTTTTTCTCAAATGTTGGTTCAGAGTGAATGTCACAAAATAAGATAAAATAAGAAAAGCAACATATGGAAGCTGTTCAGTTCTTCAAGTATTAAATATGTTGTGGGTAAAATTAAATGAATGTCCTGCTAAATGGAAGAGAATTTTTGTTCTTAAAAATAAGCTAGCAGTCGTGGCTGGGGTGGCTCAGTGGATTGAACACTGACCTGCAAATCAAAAGGTCAATGGTTCGATTCCTGATGAGGGCACAAGCCCAGGTTGCAGGTCAGGTCCCCAGTTGGGGGCCTGAGAGAGGCAACCAATTGATGTTTCTCTCCCTTTCTTTCTCTCTCCCTTCTCTCCCTAAAAATAAACAAATAAAATATTTAAAAAACAAACAAACAAAATGACACCTAGCAGATGCTTGTACATTCCAGGCCAAGCCAAATTGTCACTTTTGTAATTATTGCCTACTTCCAGGTGTCTGCCCACTTTAAAACAGTACTATATATGAGATTTAAAACAGTACTAGTGACTTATGAGATTCTGTCTGATTTAAATCCTGGTTCAGTTGCACAAAGAATGTAGTGAAAGGTTCTGGAAATTACGAGGCTGTTCTTAAACCACCGAGAAAGTGTCATCCAGATTAAAATAGAAGGAAAGCGGATTCTCTGGAAGGCACCGCCACCATTCAAGGCCTCAAGCAGTGATTTCTGGGAGCTCTGGAGCCACAATTTTCAATCAGATCCTCAAACAGAAGCTTGTTAAAATGCAGGTTCTATTGCAGTGAGTCTGGGTGAGCCTGAGATTCTGCGTTTCTCACGCGCTCCAGGTGATGGCAGTGCCTCTGGTCAGGAAAACTACACTTTGAGTAACAAGACTTGAGAGCCTTTCTTGTGGCACAGCCGTGACCCACTAATTGCAAAAGGCCTCAGGGTATTTCCTGCCTCCCTGAAGCCCTGGACTCTGTGAAAGGAGCAGGGCTGCAGAGGACTGGAGGAGAGCTCCCCAGGGGGTGGAAGAGAATATGGATTGGGCAGCCAGGACTTAACCTTGTGCCATGGAAAAAAGTCAGTCATAATGACACTATTTTAGACTGTTCACTGCAAAATCAAGCATGGAATTGGTACCTTCTATTTATTCGCCTAGCAACTTTAAAAAAAAATTTTAATGGAGAAATGTTACAAGATATAGAAAGTTATAGGGACTAATTTAATAAAACCATTAAACACACTACGGCTTTATCACAAATTGGTATTCTTCTCTACTTAGTTAAGATTTTTTTAAATAACAGAACACTCGGGACTAATCTAAGTTCTCTGTATATCCCTCACCGGTTTGATTTCCTTCCTCCCACAAAGGGTAACCCCTGTCCTGAATTTGAAATTTTTACATGTATTCATTCTTCCAGCAAATATGTACTGAGCATATTCTGCACCCTGGGCCCAAGGTTAGGAACTGGATGTACAGTGATGGACAAGACAGTGTCCTGGAGCCAACATCCTAGCGAGGAGCCTGACGAGAGCAGATAAACAAGTGTGGTTTTGGTCTTTGTGTAAATGGCATCAAATGTTGCATATCCTTCTTTAACTTGGTTCTTTTTCATTCAACATTTATCCATGTTTATGTTTATTGTTGTTTTAACAGCTGTATAGTATTCCACCAGTTCGCCCCTGCTTATGTATTTATTTGTTTGTACATTCTGCTGTTACTAGACGTAGGTTGTTTCCAGTTTTTTGTAGTTACAAGCAGTGCTGACAGAAACATCCGTTTTCAGGTCTCCTTGTGCACGTGTGTGCAGTTGTCTCCTAGGGCACACATTCAGAGCTGGACTGCTCTGCACACCTATTATACCAGTTTACACTACCGCCAGCAGTGAACAAGTGACCAAGGCATTCTTTGCCCTCTCTAAATCGCCTGTGTTTGTGTTTTATGTCTGTCCCTTCCTTAATGGGCTGTGTTCCGTTAGCGTCATTGTCTGGATTCTAATTCTAGGTTGGGCCACGGAGCACACTTTTGAGGACAGAGTGTCTCTGTAACCACCTGACCTACTTTGGCAGTGACTTCTTCATTGTGCCCCGGACAGTGAATGTTGAGGACACGATCAAGCTACTCCTGCGTGTGACCAACAACCCCATTGGGGTGTCACTGCTGGCCAGCCTCTTGGGATTCTATGTGCTCCTATTCGTGTGGACTTGGAGACAGGATCAAGCAGATATGCAGAAGGTGATGAGTCTGATTCCAAAAGTTTTGCCAGTGTCTTGAGTATGTGAAACAAGATGGGGAAAAAAATTCCTTGTTTAAAAGAAGCAGGTCACATTGTTCTAGGTAGTATAGAAATTCAGGTGCTTTTCTTAAATTTCTCTTTATATCTACTCTCTCAAGACCTAGGAACTAAACTCTCTATCTCCTTTTTTTCTTTTCTCCTATCTAGGAATAGGCCAAAAGAAAACATCTAGAGAATTTAACTATAATCAAATGCAAGTTTATATCACTGTATACATTGGACATAAAAGTTATGTGTGAATTAAATATTAATTTAATGTAATTGCAATGTATTAAAAGCCTGTAAGAAATCTTTTTTTAAAACAACAAAAAATATTTTGATGACTGCCTGTTCTTAATTTCTGTTCTATTTCTCTCAGTTCTTGTGTTTTCTTAAACTTGGAAATTGTAGACTACATAACATGTTCAATTTCTTTGTTCCTGTGGGTATAGGATTTCCAGTTTTAGTGACTAAAAAACAGGACAATTGGGGAGGGTAGGTGAAGGTGGAAGAGAGTATGGGGGGATAAATGGTCATGGAAAAAATAAATGAATAAGTAAGGCAGGACATACAATTAAATTTTAATTTCAAATAAATAGTGAATGCATTTTAGGGATAACTATGCTCCTAAATTATTCAGTTTGTCTGAAATTCAAGTTTAACTGGACGTTTCATGTGTTATTTATCTGGGTGAGAGGGAGGTGGGAAGAGTCAGAGGCCCAAGACCTGACTGGTTCTATGACTGTTTCATTTTAGGGGCATAAACCCTGGGCTGCCAGCCCTCATCCCCACTTTTACCACTTAACCAAGGTCTGCCACTCTGTTTGCCACTGACCCACACCTCACCTCTGCTTTCCGTACAGCGGCCCAGTTTGCAGCAATGTAACCTCCTGTGGGTGCATTGCTGCAAAAAGAAACCCTCCTGTTTCTTAGCTGGAGGAAGCAGCCCCACTGAATAAGGAAAGGTCGGCCAATGTTCTTGGTTCTCTTCCTGCAGGTAAAGGTCACTGTCTTGGCTGATAATGACCCCAGCTCTCAGTTTCACTATCTTGTCCAGGTCTCCACTGGGTATAGAAGAAGGGCCTCTACAACCGCTAAGGTAAAGAAATAAAAGTCCTTCATTCATTGCTCTGTGTCTTCTGCCATGCGAGATGCACCCTGATGTGGTGATATCCGGTGTCCCATAGCACTTACAGGGCATCTCAGAGGGATGTCGCCTTGTTCTAAACTCTACATCTGAAGATCCCTCTGTACTTTTCCAAGATCCCAGAGACTCCATCTCAGTACAGTTTCTCTGTCTTCCTCTTTCTCCTTAGGGGTACGCCCACAGAACCACATAATCATGTTAGAACTTGCCGTGTTTTATCTTTCCACGTTACGTCCTAGGTGGTTATCACCCTTTATGGATCGGAGGGACGGAGCGAGCCCCATCACCTGTGTGACTCCCAGAAGGCAGTTTTTGAACGAGGGGCACTGGACGTCTTCCTCCTGAGCACTCCGTCCCCTCTAGGGGACTTGCACGGCCTTCGGCTGTGGCACGACAATTCGGGCGTTAGCCCTTCTTGGTAAGTACCTGAGTCACGCTGGCTTGTTCTTTTCTGTGGATTTAGCATTCTGGGGCAAGTCGACTGTGTCATCCCAGTAAGTAACAATAATACTTTGAGCCAGATAGTAACAAATTAGATTTAAATTTCAAAGCTATCTGTGAAGAAGAAACCCAGGGAATCAATATGGAAAGTTAACAATATGATTTTTTGTGGGTGGCAGAATGGTAGATGTTTTATTTTTCTTTTGTTTTCATTAAATGTTGTCATGTTGTAAATAACAATAATAAAGAAATACTACACCCCCAAAAAAGAAATATTGCCCCAAAGTACCACAGATTAAAAGCATCTCTAAATATGAATAAACGTATTTAAAGGGTAAATTTAACAACTATATCCTGAGTACTGTACCTAGGGGCAATATCAACAGCCGAAGGAGAGAGGATGGGGAATGTGCCTCAGGAGTCAGAGAAAGGTTCGGCGTTGAGGGCGTGACTCTGACTCTGCTGCATCCACATGACTCTGCCTCTTCCTTTGGCAGCACTCTGGGAATTAGGAGAGGTGGGTGGAGAAAGTTAGATGATAAAATGTATTAAGGATGAAGGTTATTGGCTTGTTGGAGTTGGGAAAAAAGAAGAGAATGAAGGCAAAGATCCAAGGCTCAGGTGCTCAGAGGAGTCAGAGGCTGAGTATGGCCCACTCTGAAAAGAGCACACAGCCTGCCTAAAATGAGGCTCCTGCTCGGCCACACACACCAGCCACTAGGCCAGGAGAGCCCAACAGTTGGCTCGCTGCCTCCATTCTGATCAGGTATCTACAAAAGTTTGTACAGTATTGTTCCAGTTTCATCTATAAAGGTGAGTAATATGTAATAAACACTTGAAAAGATGTTCAGCTTCATTAGTCATCAGGAAATGCAAGTTAAAACCAGTGAGATAGCGCTCAACAGCCACCAGCATGTTTGAAAAGTCTGGCAAAACCGAGTTTGGGTGCCGATGGGGGGCAGGGAGAGTCCACACGGCACCGCTCGGCGGGTAATTGGTGCGGCCACGTTGGAGGGAAGTTTGTCAGCTTCTTGTACAGTTAAACATACATTTACCACATGGCCCGGACATTTCACTCCTAGGAATTCACCCAGATAAATGAAAAACTGCCCATTCAAGCCTTATGCCCATATATGTTCATAGCACTTTTATTGTTAGTAACCAAAAACTGAAAACAACACAAATGTCCATGAGGCGAATAAACAAATGTTAGCATATTCATTCATTGGAATACTACCCACTGACAAAAGGAACAATCTGCCAACACACACACAACCTGGTGAATTCCCAAAAATGTGCTGAGCGGACGCCAGCCCCGGAATACAGTGTGTGAGTCCGCATATGTGAAAGCCTTTAAAAAGGCAAACTCCTCTACAGAGACCGGAGCAGATCTGTAGTCACCTGGGGTGGGGGTGGGAGCTCTTATTTTCTAAGATAGAGGCAAACGGGAAGCTTTTAGAGGTGGCAGAGCACTGTCACGTGTGGAACCAGGAAACTGGAAGAACACGTGCGCACACTAGGCTATTCATAGGTCATAGACGTCTGCGTTCTGGTGTTTGGTACGTGAACCCCCTCAGGTGAGGAAGGGGAAAATGGGACCAGCTGTCATTGCTTTCTGTACTCCTTGCCTTGCAATGAAACAGAATCCATTTATTTGGACATTTACTGACAGTGCCAACTTATGTTTTTTACATTATTTCATCCATTTTTTATTTAGGTATAATTGACATACAGCATATTAGTTTCAGGTATATAACATAATGATTCAATATTTGTATATTTTGCAAAATGATCACAATAAGTCTAGTTAACATCTGATACCATACATAGTTACAGAATTTTTTTGTGTGCTGAGAAATATTAAGATCTACTCTCTTAATAACTTTTAAATACGCAGTACAGTATTATTAACTATAGTGCCATGCCGTACTCTATATCCTCACAAGTTACTTGTTTCATCACTGGGAGTTTCTGCCTGTTGGCCCTGTTCACCCATTTCCCCAGCCCACTGCTGCTCCCAGCCACCCCTGCCTCAGGCAGTTGCCAGTCTGTTCTCTGTGCCTATGAGCTTGGTTTTTTGTGCGTTTTTTTAGGATTCCACATACACGTGAAATCATACAGTATTTGGCTTTCTCTTTCTGACTCATTAAGCTTATCAGTGCCCTCAGGGTCCATCCATGCTGTCACAAAGTGACAGTTTCATTCTTTTTTATGGCCGAATAATTACTGTGTGTGTGTGTATACACACCATGTTTTTTAACCCATTTTTCCATCAGTGGACATTTAGGTTGTTTCCATAAGGTTACCCCTTACTGCAACATGATTATGTTCATTTTACTATAGGTATGTAAACCAGGTGATTGTCAGTGATGTGGCAAGTAACAGGAAATGGCACTTCCTGTGCAATTGCTGGCTGGCCATTGACCTTGGAGACTGTGAGCGTGACCGGGTCTTCATACCAGCCTCAAAGAAGGAGCTCTTCGCCTTTAGGTATTGTTGGGAAGTGATGGTGTTTTACAAGTCTCCGGGGCTCTGTCTTTATTTTTATTCTTTCCTTCAGACTGTATAATTGATTTTTATCCTAAAAGATTTTATTTATTTTTAGAGAGGGGGGAAGGGAGGAGGAAAGAGAGGGAGAAAAACATCACTGTGAGAGAGAAACATCGACGATCAGCTGTCTCCCACACATGCCCTGGCCAGGAATTGAACTGGTGACTTTTTGCTTTGCCAGACAGTGCCCAACCGACAGCGGCCGGCATAGGTCAGGGCCAGACCTTGTAATTTAAACTGACCCGTCTAAGGTTTGCTGAATCTTTCTTCTCCCGTTTATGTTGTTGAACCTTTCTAGTGAATCTTTCATTTCACCTAGTGCATTTTTCAACTGCAGACTTACTACTTGGACCCTATTTTTAAAAAAATAATTTATGTATCTTTTTTTATCTATTTGACAAGATATCATTCTCATTTACTTTTTCTTGGTTCTTTAGACATGGTTTTCTTCAGTTCTTTGAACACATGTAAAATAGCTGATCTGAAGTCTTTGGCTAGTAAACCCAGCATCCTGGCTTCCATACGGACAATCTTGGGGGGGAGGGACACTCTAGCTTTACAATCTGAAAATGTAAGTAAATTTGCTCCAAAGGGAGACACTGTCTCTATCTTCCCAGTGCTGTCAGCTTACACCAAGATCCTCTAAAAGACAATCTCGGTGCAAATGTCTGAGGGGAGCCTTGGTGCGGAGCGTGCATGGGGCCTGCCTTCCAACATGGCCCTTGTATCCAGTCTCTGTCAGTCTAGCTGTTATTTCTGTAAGTGCACCGCCCCTTCTCTTTTTAATATTTTACCTTCTCCCTTAATGTTCCAAATTTTACCATAATTCTTTTTACTGTAGATTTATTTTTTAGCTTGTTTTGTACTCAGAAGTTACTTTTTAAAAATGTTTTTACTGTGGTAGTTTACGTAACATACAGTGTAATTATACAAAACAGTGTCTTTGATTCTGAAAAATTCTCAGACGTCACTTATGAAAATATTGCTCAGTGACATTCCTTATGGTACCTAGAGCCTCAACCTGTCCTTTGCGTCTTTAAACTACTCCTGAGCACTTACTTTTTCTTATCTCTCTGGCGTCTTCTGGCTCAATTCTTTATGAGTACATTTCAGTTCACCAATTTTCCCTTTAACAATATTAAAATATCCTAAATTTTCTGTTTTGATGACCATATTTACAGTTTTAAGATTTCTAATTTTTTTAGTTGCGTTTTTTCATAATTTTGTATTCTCCTTAAGTGAATATTATTTTTTTACTTATATCTTTGGACAACCTAAAAAGAAATACTTATTTTAAAGTCTATCAGACTATCCCATAAAACTGATTTCTCCTGGGCTGAATTATTGATTGTGTTGGATGCCTTTTTCTTCGTTAGATTTGTTTATGTGATGAGGAACTTTGAGTTGTATATTCAGTTTCAGTAGTATTATTGTTAAATCTTAATCTCTATTTCCATACTCATCTCTGACTAGCAGGGTTTTTTTTAAGATTCTGTTTATTTATCGTGTAATGTGAAAGCATCTTCACAGAGGTGCTCAGTACGGAGGAGTCGCTGCGATGCTGCTTGTTGCCAGGCAAACCGCACCCTAGTCCCGGGCACTTTCAGAATGAAATCTCATGTCTTTCCTCTTCTAATTTATCTGTGTAGACACCTGTTTTCCTCCACGATTGTAGAGAAGTTCACCCAGGATTATCTGTGGCTCTCGATTGCGACTCGACATCCCTGGGACCAGTTTACGAGAGTCCAGCGGCTCACTTGCTGCACGACCCTTCTGCTCTGCAACATGGTCATCAACGTGATGTTCTGGAAGGTGAACAGCCCCGCTGCCCAGAGAGATGAGCAAGGTGTGGATGAGCCCTCTGTGTTGTTTGTGGCCTGTGATCCTTTCACTGTGTCCCACTCGCCTTACTTTCAGGTTAGAAACGGAATCCTGATGTGCCTTCATTTTTTCCTTTGCTGCCTTAACATTAGAATACTCTAGCAAACTTGTTCATTGTCCTCATTCATTAACAAGTGAAGCAGCCTTAGGAACACATCAGGACCTTTACTGCCACGATAACTTTCTGTCATTAGATAATCATAGTTAGATTGCTAAATGAATACTTAAACCTGGAGGAGGAGCTTTACAGATGAGTTCTGTTGTTGAGAAGGGTGATGTAACGCTTTTCTTTCAGTGGGTCCGTTTGCTGTGACCTGGTCCGAACTGCTTATCAGCATCCAAACTGCTGTCATCCTTTTCCCAATCAACCTTGTAGTTGGGCGGCTCTTCCCACTGATTCAACCACAGGAACCTCTGCCTCTTTTTCCACCCGTCCAGCCCTCCTGCCTCTCAGATGCTTCTTTTGAGCCCCTCTCTGTCTCAGAGGTAGTTGAGGTAAGCCCGACATGAAATTTCACAGATGAACTCCCTGCCTCCCTGCCGTGTGTCATAGAACAGACCAGAGAAGCGGGCCTGCTGGAAGGCTGCCCGGTCTCATTAACCCTGCTGGCTGTTCCCTACTTCCTGTCCCCTGATCTGTGACCCATCATTGCCTCTGCTTGTGTTCTGAGGATTAGTGTGAGTGCAGAATGCACTTCTCTAGAGTTGTTTTAGCTTTTGATGTTTGATCGGGCCGTTCCTTCTTTCATTCTGCATTCTCTCATAACACTAGTTTTGAAACTACTGGGAGGTGACTTCTTCTTTAAAAAGTAGAGACAAAATGAAAAATTGAGGTTCCTCACACTAAGAATATGCTCCCCTGAATAAAGATACAACCTATTGCCATCTATTATTGCTACCATTCCTGGGTTCATTTTAAACAGACTGACTTCTCATTTTGGCTTTACATGCAGGAATTAAAGGAAACCGTGGGATTTTTGCTCAGGAGAAATACGCAGCTTCTCTTAGAGTGTGAACAATCTTCATGGAGTTCTTACAACGTGAACGAGCTGGTTGCACTTTTATCCAACCTCGTTTGTTCTCACTTAGAGGGTCAGGGCTGTCACCAGTCAGCAGGAGGACCCTCCTGGGCAGACAGTAAGTTCCGGGGGTTTGAGTAACTAATCTTTCCTCTGCCTCCCACTCCCTTCCACGTCTCTTTCTTACTCGTTGTCTTTTGGAATAACCAACAGGCAGGATACAACCTTCTGCTTATTTTAATTTCCTTGAGCTTTTAATAGAGAACTGATACTTTGATACCTTTGATAGCTTTTGAAACAATATATCTGTTGAAACAAGCAAAGGATTAATGAAAAGCTCATAGCCCTGGCTGGAGTGGCTCAGTGGGTTGAACTCCAGCCTGTGAACTTAAAGGTCACAGGTTTGATTCCTGGTCAGGGCACATGCCTGGGTTGCAGGCCAGGTCCTTAGGTGGGGGCGGGGGGGGGGGTGGTGGTATGAGAGGCAACCGATCAATATTTCTCACGTCAGTGTTTCTCTCCCTTTTCTTTCTGTCTTCTCTCCCCTCTCTCTAAAAAAAGAAATAAATAAAATCTTTTTTAAAAGGAAAGAAAAACCCACAAAAATGTTTTCTGTGTGAGACCCCCATATGTCATTTGCTTTGTTGGAGAATGTTAAAATTTGTCATCTTTTTCTTCTATGAAATGGTGAGATTATGCAGTTTTTGGATTCTCAGATACAGTTTAGGCTTCCTGGGCACTTACCTACTATAGGTCACATGTGACTACAGTTCTGGTGAAAATGCTCAATCAGATTTCAAAAATCTCTAGATCAGCATGGAATTATACAAGATGTTGGAGATTTACCAGTGTGCCCAGAGAAGACAAGAATATTGTGCATGTTGGGTCCAATCTCCACCGACTGAGAAATTTAAAATCACAATTAATGAATTACTTATCTCTACCAGGTATCACTGTTATAGAAATCTCCCACTTATTAATAAATGTCACCTGGAATACATTTGCAGAGGTTCCTGAGAATCACTATCATTTCTGCTGCTACCTGCTCAGAGTCCTGCAGAGGCTGCAGTCTCACTTCAGTGCGTTGGGTCCCACCCAGGCTGACCAGCCTTGTGACTTCCCAGATGCATCCAGCCACCTGCAGACACTTCAGGAACTCTTAGAAACACGTACTCTTCCCACAGAGCAAGGGCCGTCCAGGTAATGCACCACACCTGGCCTCCTTCACGCCCTCCCTCCCCTGCCACACCTCTCTCAGCTGTTGGTTATGAGATTATTCGACTTGTGTTCTTCAGGGAGGCAACCAGTTTCCCCATCCTGAGCCCAGAAGAAGGGAAGAAGTCCACCTCTAATGGTCTCCCTAAGTGGTTGACTTATGTCTGCTGGCTCCTTCTGGGGGTCACTAGCTTGGCCGCAGCCTTTTTCACAGCACTTTATAGCCTGAAACTAAATAAAGAGCAAGCCACCAGCTGGGTTATTTCAATGATTTTATCAGTGCTTCAGAACGTCTTCATCATCCAGCCAGCCAAGGTACGTGAGCAGCGGGCCCCACCAGTGTGCGAGGAATGCACAAAATTGGGGGGAGCTTGGGGAACTGAAGTCCATGGGTATTGATCCAAGGTGCCTAATGGTTCCGACAATTTGACCAAAAAAAGAATGCTCCCCTCAAAAGAAATAGGAAGGGTGAAATTTGTAGGGAATATGAGTGAAGTGGTCCCAGAAAAACTAACAGAACTGATAGACTAGTGGAAGCACAGCAGACAAAGATTGGGTAGTTAAGGGAAACAAGTGAAAAAAAAAACACCAAAACTGAGAACAAACTACTTTGGAAAAAAAGCAACATGCAACTTACTTTTTAAAAACTTGTAATTAAAGAAAATGCCATACCCTCACAAAAGTGTGTAGAGAATAGGAGAGTAAATCCTAAAGTTGTATTACCTAGTTTCAGCAATTACCAATTTATGGCCAATCTTGTTTCATCTGTTTTAAGGAAAAACACCCGACTTCACATTTTATTCATAAATATTGGTATATTTCTAAAATATAATGACATTTTGTTAAGCATAAATATAAAACCATTATCACATCTAAATAAATTAGCAACAATTTAATATCCACACAATAATACAAATGTACTTAACACCACTAAACTATACATTTTTTAAAAGTTCAGATGGCAAGTTATTTGTTATATGTATTTTAGCAAGATTTTTAAAAATCCAATGTTCATATCGTTTTAGTTGCCTCATAAATGTTTATTTTACAGTTGTTTTGTTCAAATCAGATCCAAATAAGGCCCACATGTTACAGTTGGTTGCTCTGTCTCTTAAGAATTGTTAATACTTAATCTACCCGCCCCTTGTCCTTTTCTCTCTTTCTCTCACTCTCTATTCTTGCTATTTTTCTCCCTTTGTAGTTGTTGAAAAAACCTAGTTGTCTGTCTGTAGAGTTTCCAATATTTTGGATTTCCAGGGCAGAACTGCCTCTGCTTTAAGAACTGCAAAAGATGGGCCTGAGCTCCTCCGAGCAAACCTGGGGAGCTTTAAAAACCCTACTTGCCCAGGCCTCACTCCAGACCAATTAAACCGTAATTTCTAGAGCTGGGCTTCAGGGCCCAACCTGGTACAGCTTCCCACGCGACTCCAATGCACAGCTGCATGTGAGACCCACTGGTGACAGAAGAGGGACCGAGACAAGGAGTAGGTGGATCTTAATTTTTAAAAAACTGCTGGGGGAGACTGACCAAAAACCAGCAGGAACTCTTAGATTCAATTACAGCAGACTGTAGAATGATGTTGTTTTGTTCAGTGTCGTTTTGTCACAATGTGGGCGAGGGGGAAAACTGCTTCATGTCTGGGGCCGTCTGTGGGAGTTTGCCCAGTGTCCCCACGTCTGTGCGGGGATTTTCCGGGGACTCCGGTTTCCTTCACATCCAAAAATGTGCACGTCGCCCCAGTCTGAGTGTGGCGTGGGAGCATAAGTGCCCTGCGATGGGAGGGTGTCCAGTCCAGGGTGGGTCCCACGGGTCCCACAGGTCCCCCCACACACTTGGAACTGCTGGGAGACACTTCAGCACTGCCCCTGAACTGGAACAAGAATTTTCTTACTTGTTTTTGTTAATCACTCTTGAATGTATATAGAGCTCATTTATTTCAGTGTTTAATTTTAGAAGTATTTGGGGGGTCTTTACTTAGAAGCCTCGTGATGCTTTTGTGACCAGAAATGTTTTGTGCCATAGGAAAGAACTTAACTCCTGTGTCTATCAGTTAGCGTGTGACAAAACAAAATTTGGTTTTTTTTAGGTAGTCTCGCTTCAAGTCACAGTTTCTGAGAATCTAAGGATGATGTTAAGTGAGAGAGTGCCATACATATCAGACACTAAGGCTTTCAGGAAATGAAAAGTGTGGTTTAGAAGTTCGAAAGTTCAGAGGTTGAATTGAAAAAGGGGTCACTGTTGATGACCAGGAAGGTCAAATAAACGAAAATAATAGCAAACAAACCATATATAAAAAAATACTGAATTTATAAAGTGACAGAGACCGAGGCAGTGGATCCAGGGTGACTGGCGTGCCGTGGATAGGAGTGGTAATAACTAAACAATTGAAATAATTTCCACAGTTACAAAGAAACATTGAATCTACCTCTTGAAAGGCTTTAACTAGGTCCAGGCATAATTAATTTAGAAAGACGCGCTGAAATGGAGGCAGGTCTGCGACGGCTTTGACTCGACTCCTGGCAGCTCCCAGGTGATGCTGGTGCCGCTTGTCCACGGGTCACACTTTGGGTAGCAGCATCCTGAATAATAACTCTAGTTCCTTTGAAGACTCAGTGCCATAAAAAATACTAATATGGAGGACTATTCTAGATCTTTTGAATAAACAAGACATTTTTAATATGGACAGACTATTCTACTTGAAAGTAATCAATAATTTCCTTATGTGTGATAATGGTATAAGAATGTCCTGATTTTTAGGTGATACGTGTTTGAATGCAGCCAGTCCTGCATTGTTTCAATGTACATGAATTTCAGTTACCAGGGTTTAGTGACATAACAGTTTCCCAGCAGTAAAGTTCCATCCTCAGTTACCAGGGTATGTGAACAGTGAGTGCATGACGTACAAAGTGCTGCTAGTTTTTCAGTGGAGAGTTGGGCTGGACCCACGGCTCAGTGTCCTTTCTACCACTTCCCACCCTAGTCTAGCCCACTGAAGGGTGACTTTAAGTCTTCAGGGCAGACATGCCCCAAATTGCTGCCTCAAATCCATGAAACTCTAAAAGTAGAAGCAGAAAAGATCTCACACCCTCCTCTAGACCTCAGGCCTGGCCCACTTTGCCCAGCCCTGGGAAACCCAGGCAGAGCAGAACGGACTCACCTGCAGGCAGGCCAGCCTGGGGAGGGTGGGAGGGAGTCACCTGCACAGATTCTTCCCAGTGACATGGGGGGGGGCGGTATTATGGCCCTTGCCCTTTACTCTCCTGAGGACTGGAGCACTTTCCTTCCTGGAAATTTAAGGAGTGGGGAATACTTAATGTTCATACTCAATTCTAAGATTCCATGACTTCTTTAGCAAAACTGAGATTTCATACTTGAAACTTTTAAAAGTGTGGTTCCTCCAGTTGAGCTCATCACTGGTTGTGCAAAGACAGGTGTTTCTGAACAACTTCTGCAAACCATCACAAAGCATTGAATAGTTGAAGCTTTCCTAACCAAGCAGATTAAGGACTATGGGCAAAAATACAAATACTAGCTTTATCCGGACACTGGGGATACTTCGGGTCCCCATGATTATGCAAAAATAATTATGAAATTACTTAATTCTCAGTTTTCCAAAGATATGGCCAAATAATTGAAATTTAGTAATACTTTCACCTTTACACAGTGGCGTCAACTTTCTTGGCTCCTGTGAGACGTGCTCATTGGTTTCTCCTGTGATTTTCCTGTCCAGGTGATCTTCCTCTCAGTGCTCCTGTCGCTGATTTGGAACAGGATGCCCTGCCTTAACAAGGAGAAGGAGCAGCAAACGAAGAGGATCTTGGCACTCTCAGGTAGCTCTAGCTTCTAATATCTAAGTGCAGACTATATCAGAACAGGTGGGATTCTAGCCTCCTCACTCAGACCAATTCATCCTTTGGAGAATCGTGTCCAATCAGCTAGTTGCTCCTCCAGCCCGGCCCAAGGCCACCCACCCCGCAGCAGGAATGCCTCGCTAGATGAGGTCACCCGCTCAGCAAATCCCAGACCTCCTCCACCTCTTCCTCACACCTGAGCCCCATGTGCTCACCACCTGCCTCTGAACACGTTTCAAATGAAAGATGCCCCAAACAAGTGTTTGCCTGCTCAACAAGGCCACTTCTTTACTGTATTTTCTCATCTCAGTTAAGAGCATCACCATTCTCTAGAAATGTCAGAGTGATCCTGAATTCCTCTCTGATGCCTCAGTCAGTCACTGCGCCAAGGGGCGTCTACCCTGTAGCCGACTGGAGCTGCTCACGCCTTGCGAGTGAGCCTTATCGGTGCAGTGGTGGGCAGGAGACAACTCGCAGGCGGACTAACACAGCACTGTGGTCACGCAAAACAGTGCATGCCTCCTCCGGGGGGTTTTGTGATGGAGAAATGCGTGGAAATGACAAGTGCCAGAACACAGGAGAGGACTTACCTCTCTGAAGCAAAGGAACAATGCCATCACAGAGGTGCACACGAGACCTTATGTTGACCGTCACTGATTTCTTAGGGTGGAGGATTCCCCATTTCTTCAGAAGTTAAATTAATAAACTAACTAAAAACTGCATTTACAGTCCTCATTTCATTTCTCCGCGCTCTTTAATTGCTGTTCCCTCTGCCTAAAATGACTTATTTTTTTCTTGTCCTCATCCTTATCCATCTGAAGAGTTCTAACTAATATTTCAAAACATATCAAAGGTCGCTTCCTCTGTGACACCTTCACAATTCCCTCAGGGAGATCCGTTCCCTCGTTTTTCAGTGATTCCTCAGCACTTGGTATATACATGCTGCCAAGTATGTCATATTCTGATTCATTCCCTCCCTCCTGCCCCTCCTCCCCCCTCCCCCTCCCTCCTCCCCCCTCCTCCTCCCCCCTCTTCCCTCCTTCCTTCTCCTCTCTCCTCCTCAGCCCTCCTCCTCCTCCCTGCCTCCTAGGCAAGGCTGTTCAAAATGTAAGAGATTGCTGAAAGAAGATTTGTCCCTCAAAAAGATATTTGACCTCATGGTAGTACATAACCTATAAATGCTGTCACTGTTGTAGTAAAGAGTAAAATGACTCTGATGTTTCAGGTCTGTGTAAATGTGGCAGGTCTGTGATCTGCACTTCGTGCCCCGTGTACGAAGAGACGTGAAGAATATGAATGCTCCGTTGGTGTGTTCATAGCGGAAAGTTCAGCAGCAGTTTACGTTCCAGCAGATTTGGATTGTGGAAGAGAAAGCGGTGACAGTGTGTGATGTGTAGTGTGGAGCTAGAAAAAGCCCTGGTAGGGTTTGCAGGGCTAGGCATGTTCCCAGAAGGGATCTGAAGTTTCATCATTCAGAGTGAGCTGATAATTTTAATTAGCGGGTGAGATTTCTAGGTTTGGTCATTACTCTTTTTGTAGTTGAAATACAGCAGCGGGCCCTGGCTGGGCAGCTCAGCTGGTTACCCAGCCAGGGCACCGTCCTGATATACCAACGTATGTGCCCACTCAGGGCATGTACAAGAATTAACCAGTGCATGCATAAATCAGTAGAACAAAAAATCTATGTTTCCCTCTCCCTAAAAATCAATAAATATTTTAAATACAATGATGCCTTTTCATGTCATTGTTCATGGATAGATTCCATGTAAGAATAATGATGTGTTTATTTTAAGTACTATTTTTGTGGTTTTGTAAGGTTTTCTTCAAAGCCCTTACCAATTTATGGGGGACTTGAGCTGATTGGAACTGGAGGAGTTGGTTGTAGGATTGTGATGAATTTTGGTGGGTCTTTTTTAGGCTCGATAGTATTTTTAATTCATTTGGGGGGAATGTTGGTAGTCTTTGGTTATATGCAGCTATGGCTACTGAACAATATCCTGAGGTGTGAGTTCCTAATAAAACTGTCCTGGGAGAATTTCTCTCTGGTTTAATTACAGAAGTTATATTAATTTTATGTGCACTAAAAATGAGGAAGTGGAGGTGGTATTTAAGTTTAATGGGCTAGAGGATTGGCCTATTTATCATACTGAGGATTCTGGGTTTTTTTCAGCAAGGAATATCTGGGTATTGCTGCTTCTGTAGTTTATCCTACTTGATTGGTGGTGGTCACTAGTTGATGCTTATTGTAGTCACTGTTATTACAGAAGTTACTCATGGAAACTAAGTGTAATCAAGCTTAGGGTCAATGTAATCACAAAACAAGTACAATTTGGCTAGGCCTTTTTGGTTGGATGCTAGTGTGGAAGCTTTTATTTGGAATTGGGAGATTAATTTTGGTAAAACATTTTCTAGTCAGATTAGGTTGAGCAATAGTGATGCTGACTTTTGCCTCACTGCTAAGTCCATGAAAGGTAAGAGGTGGTATATGATTGTTGGAAAATATCCAAGAAGGTTAGAGAATTTGAATAGGTTTGAGGAATAATTAGTTTTAGATTTTGGGTGTAAGACTGAGTTCAAGTGCCAGAATAAAACCTGGTACAGGTACAGATAAGGCCAATAGTTTCAGAGAATAAGGCGTAGTTATCTGTGGAATAGTTGTTGGGGTATTATTGTTGGAAATAAAGAAACCAGCAAAGATGCTTCCGATTAAGAAGATATTTAATAGAATTTGTTAGGGAAGGGTTATTTTTATTAAGATTGGAGTAGGAAAGTGTGGTTGTCCTCGGAGTACAAAGTACTACCAACAGCTGTTAGGGGTGTGGCAATGAGAGTAATTAGCAGGGCTCTGGCCTTGGTGTGTGACGTGGTCTGGAAATGTCCCTGGAGGGAATCCTGTGAGGAGTCATTCCCATGAGTGCTAGACTGCCAATAATGAGTGCAGTCATAGTGAAGGGTTATGTCTGAATAAGCCACCTATTTTTTGATATCTTGTTCATCATTTAGGTTACGAATAATAGACACAGAACATAAGAATAGTATGGCTTTGAAGAATGCACGTGTGCAGATATGGAGAAATACTAGGTATGGTTAATGCTGATGGTCACTATTCTTAGGCTTAACTGGCTTGAGGTAGAAAAGGTGACAATTTTTTAAATATCCTTTTGAGTAAGAGCGCAGATTGCCGTGAATAATGTGGCAATGGCTCCCAGGCATAAGGTCGTTGGGTAAGCTTGTTTTTTAATGGATAAAATCAGATTGGCAGAAGATCCTGCTGGGACGACTGTACTGAGTGGATGGAGCAGGGCCGAGGTGGGTGTCAGCTCTGCTGTCGTGAAAGGCGGTTATGGGTGACGTCCGAATTGGCACATTTTCTGGTGGCAGCTAGGAGGCGCCCAGCCAGTGGGCAATTAGTGTCGTTATGTCTGAGTAAAAAGATCTGTTGCATATCTCATGAGTCAAAATTAAACAGGAATCATGCCATGGACATAGTAAGTCTCCGATGCAATGACACACAGTTGCTTGGAGAGCAGCAGTGTTGCGTCTGTTTGACACTAACTCGACGCCATCGTCCAGTTAGTAGGAGTGGCATGATTCCTGGTCCTTCTTATCAATCACTAGTTGGAAAAGATTGTTACTGGTGACTAAGGTTATAATGAGAACTATAAGGATGTATTTTTTAAAATGGCTAATAATAGGATCTGAGTGTATATATCATGTTGAGAATTTTACGATTGGGCATGTGATGAATAATGCTACTGGTATGAATAGCATTGAGAAGTAGTTTAGCTTGAAGCTAAGTGTTATTTTTAGAGTTTGAATAGTTATTCAGCATTAATTTGCAGTGATTACTTCTTAGCCCAAGTAGATGATTTTCATTGGGACTGAGCTAGTAAAATTGTAGTTTTTGCATAAGCGAGGATACATCTTGCTTTGGTAGATATTAGAGATGGTCGCTATGATTGGTAGGGTTAGTACGAGTAGAGAAATTAGTGTTGAAGCAAAGAGAAACTATTACTTGTATTTGGAGCTGCACTAGTTTTTAGTTCCTAAGACCAATGGATAATTCCTGTCCTTCAAAAGTCTGAAAAGGGCATGCTGACATATATATATGGAGGCATGAATTAGCAGCTCTTGCATACTTTTTAAGAAAATAAGAATTTTTAGTTTCTATGATTAAATTTAAAATATGATGTCTTCATTAAGCTATATTTATAGTACAAAGTTCCCCAAATGATTTTAGGGTCGGTGGGTAGGAGCAGGAGAGACAGCGGGTGTACAGCTATGAGGGTGTTCTCTCGTGCGGAGCGTGGTTTGACTGTCAGTGTGAAGTTTCCCTCGCTGCATCGTAATTAGTATTTAGAAGGAGTGTAGGGTGGTGATACCACTGTTGGCTCCTGTGTGGGAGACAGATACATTAGACCGTGAGGATGTCGGCATAACTATGAAGAACTCCCCAAGTAAAGTGTTGCCGTGGGTAAAGACAGAGTAGTGAGACTTCCTAGGAGTCATCATGCTGCTCTCAGTGGAAGGCATTTAGAGTCTGGATATGGATTCATTCATAATTTCAGTTTGCCAGGTAGAGTAGTACTGAGTGAGGATATAAGGCTGTGTGATTAGTGGACAGTGGCTCCAATATAGCTTCGTGGTATTAGAATAAGGAGGGCTGCAACTACTGGATCTGTGCGGCTGATGGAGTATGCGCTGAGCGACTTGCAGCCCGTCCGACACAGAACTGGTTATAGTCGTCTGGGAAGGGCAGTATTAGGAAGGAGTGTGCGATAGCGTTTGTTAGGAGGGTTAGCGTTGTTGTGATTCATGGCACACCACACAGCTCGTGTAAGTACCACAGCTGCAGAAGCATAGGGCCAGCAGCGGGGACTAGAGAGGCATTTTCACTGTAAATGCTATTACGCATGCTAGTCATAGAAAAATATTAGATCAAAAAGTAAGCAGAGGTTGAATTCAGTGCAGTGAGGAGCAGAAGTGGAAGTGATCCCACTAGTGTGTGAAATAGGAAGTGAAATCCTGCATTTAGTCGCCCTGACTGCCTCAGCCAGTGCTGATAACTAGGGTTGGTCCTAGTGTTGCTTCAAACAGAATGTAAAATGGGATTAGTTCTGTGGTGGCAAATGTTATGGTTAGTAATATCAGCATATCCTAGAATTGTCAGACATACAGAATCTCAGGCTTCACCCTCAAGTCTACATGTACCAAAATTGCCAGGTGATTCCTATGCACATGTGTAGGTCGTGTTCCCAACGGGTGTTCACTGACTAAAAACTTTCTAGTCCGCCGTAAGTACAGAAATGGAGAGTGGGCAATTTAGAAACTTTCATAGCAATTGAACAGACTTAACTTGAGGCCTGACTCTAATGTTATAGGCCCATCATTTTAGAGGCCTCTGTTCACTTTCATTTGTCTACTAATTCATTTTATTGCACTTTATAAAAGTATCAGTTCCTGATGGATTGGCATTTTTTTAAAGCAAGTCCTTCGTGATAGTTTGCGTATCTCTGCTTAGCTTTTTTTGTTTCTTCAACACTTAACAGGAGGTGCTCATAGTAGATACTCAACAAATGCTGATGGATAACTGCCTAATGAAATATAACATTTTTGGCCTATATTTGAATTTTTTATAGCAAAATGTTCTTCATCATTAGCGGGTTCAAGAGACAAGAGGAACCCCATCTACGTAGCCCCAGCTCTGAACAGCCCAGTTAAGCGCCCAGAAAGAACCTTGAAGGAGAAAGAACTCTTCAAGCTGACAGGAGATACCTTAGGTAAGGAGAGGTGGTGGTGGCATGTGGTGACTGCCGCACAGCTCCCAGCAAGGACGAGGGGTAGCAAGCACGAAACGGAAAACATGGAAGGGGAATAGCATAATACACTCATCTCGGAAAATCAGAATTCCAGTAAACAAGGTGATATGGTAAATGGAAGACTCCTGGAGTCTTGAGATCTAACTGTGTGCTTGAGTAAGTCACTTTCTCTACCTGCACAATGTAATAAAAAAAAAAAAAAACATGATCCACATACTTCAGAGTGGGGCAAAAATGAATGCTTTGAAAAATGGCTATCCTGCAAGTGCACAGTGACTGTTTGACATGGCTGGCGTTGGCATTATTGGGTTCCCTGACCCCGAGAACACAACTTGTTTTTACCATGCCTTCCCTTATCGTGAGCATGGATGGAGAGGGGGCAGGGAAAGGGAGGGGGGAGAGAGGTTTGGTGTGGGGCTTTTTTTTTTATTTTATTGATTATGCCATTACATTTGTTCTAGTTCCCCTCCTCCGTTCCCCTCCACCCTGCACACCCCTCCCCCACCATTCTCCCCCCTTTAGTTCATGAACACGTGTCTCAAGTTCTTTAGATTCTATATTTCCCCTACTATTCTTACCCTCCCCCATCTATTTTCTATCTACTGTCTATGCTACTTATTTTCTGTACCTTCTCCCCGCTTCTCCTTCTCCCCTGTTGCTAACCCTCCATATGATCTTCATTTCTGTGGTTCACTCCTGATCTAGCTGTCCTCTTAATTTGCTTTTGTTTTAGGTGTGGTTGTTAATAACTGTGAGTTTGCTGTCCTTTCACTGTTCATCTTTTTAATCTTCTTTTTCTTAGGTAAGTCCCTTTAACATTTCATATAATAAGGGCTTGGTGATGATGAACTTCTTGAATTTGATCTTATCTGAGAAGCACTTTATCTGTCCTTCTATTCTAAATGAAAACTTTGCTGGATAGAGCAATCTTGGTTGTAGGTCTTTGGTTTTCATGACTTACAATACTTCTTTCCAGCCCCTTCTTGCCTGTAGGGTCTCTTTTGAGAAATCAGCTGACAGTCTGATGGGAACTCCTTTGTAGTTGACTATCCCCTTATCTCTTGCTGCTTCTAGGATTCTCTCCTTCATTTTAATCTTGGGTAATGTAATGATGATGTGCCTTGGTGTGTTCCTTCTTGGGTCCAACTTCTTTGGGACTCTCTGAGCTTTAGTTCTAAGAACTAAAATACAAAAACTCTGTGTGAGAGTTTATGCATCTTAAGTAAAATGGCTAATTAGCAACAGAACAATTCTGGGAAGAAATATATAGATATACAGCCAAATGTTTTGGCTTACGCTTTTTTCTGCTCTACAATAGTACAAATCCTCTTCCTTGTCCTGCTGATGACTGCAGTCAACTCCACACAGAACGCCAGTAGATTTTACCTCCATCATGCTCTCTGGAAGAGCTTTACTCACCGTTTCTCAGAGATCAAACTTCTGGAGCATTTCCACCCCTGGGCCACTCACACGCTCCTTCCTAACCTGTACGGGGACTACAGAGGTAAGGACACAGTCCTGGACCCAGCCATGCAAACGTGGGGAGCAGTTAGTTTTGCAAACACCCCTATCATGACACGTTAGAACACCAGTGAAAGGTCAGCTGGCTTTTTCAACATGCCTGCGCCCTGGTAGGCACCCCAAGAATTCCACTCCCCAGATCTCAGCTAAAGCAGGTTCAGGTTTATGTCTCTTCAGTCAAGGATGATCAGGCCCATGGGTGCTGATTCCAACTGGTGAGTCTCACAAGGGGCTGGTAAAAAGAAATGAGAATTTATTCACTTACAGCATGAAAAACAGTGGGAGTGATCCCTGGGACTGGCTGCCCCCTTGTGAAGGGGGAACCACATGTAGCTGACAAGGTTGTTGGTGAGCACAGAACCTGGGAAGCAGTGTAACCAGAAAGATTTCCACAGCAGATGAGATTTGACATATTTCCTCATGAGCAATCTTTCCCAAATTTGTTACGTGTCTGTAACTTGCCTTGTGTGGTTATCCAGTTCAGTTCAACAAATATGTATTAAATAGCTAGTATGCTGAGAACCATCCTAAGAGCTAATGATAAAAAGATGGATATAATATGGTCTGTATCTTCAAAGAATTTCACTATCCAGAGGATTTGGTATGCTTTGCTGTGGGTAGTGTTGGGGAAATGCTAAAAAAATTTCTTTCCTGCCCTGGCCGGTGTGGCTCAGTGGATTGAGTCCTGGCCTGTGAACCCCAAAGGGTACCAGTTTGATTCCCAGTCAGGGCACATACCTGGGTTGCAGGCCAGGTCCCCAGTTGGGGGCTCATGAGGGGCAACTACACATTGATGTTTCTCTCCCTCTCTCTCCTTCCCTTCCTCTTTCTCTAAAAATATTTTATTAAAATATTAATAAAATATTTTTAATAAATTAAAAAATAGTGAAACTGCATTCTTTGCTACTAATTTAATGAGGCAGTTTTTACAATGGCTTCTTGTACTCTCATTAGGATTTGTTACTGATGGGAACTCCTTTCTCGTGGGCAATGTTCTGCTTCGCCAGACTCGTGTTCCTGGTGCCACAGTCTTTCCATCCAAAGTGTCTCCCCAAGAACAAGTGAAGCCATCTCACCCCGATCTGGAGGATACAGAGAACTATGGGGTGAACTGGACACCCCCTGAAACAAACACCACGGGCTCAGACAGCAGTTGGCATTATCAGAGTCAGGAGACACTGGGTGGCTACCCCATCCAAGGGGAATTTGCCACTTACTCGGGTGGAGGATACGTTGTCAGACTTGGAAGAAATTCCAGTGCTGCAGTCAGGTGAGCAGGCCTGAGGCCTGAACAAGGGGACCAAGATGTTTGCTTCTATCCTTTCTTAAGACAAGGAATTAAGTACCCACTTAAGTAGTTTTGACTACTATAATGACTTGTGGACACTTTTCATTTTAACCTTTTTTTTTAAAGATTATATTTAGAGAGAGAAGAAGGGAGGGAGAAAGAGAGGGAGAGAAATATCAGTGTGTGGTTGCCTCTCACATGGGCCCCACTGGGGACCTGGCCCACAAGCCAGGCATGTATGTGCCCTGGGAATCAAACCAGCAAACCTTTGGTCCACAGCCCATGCACAGTCCACAGAGCTACACCAGCCAGGGCTCATTTTAGACTTTTAAGGAAATTTAAGTTTTAAAAATTTTGTTCAGCTTCAAGCTACAGGTATATTTTAGTTTGCCAATTTGCCAAATCTCATTTCTTATCTCATCTGGAAAATGTATCAATTTCACTCCTAGCTCAGGAGAACTTCGATAACTCCAGCTTAGGCACACTGTACTCTCCAATCATGAGGAAAAAAAAACCACCATCCTTCACTAAGAACCGTGATTAATCTAAAATAATTTAAATGCCAAAAATAAATTTTTATACTTATAGCGTGATTTTGTATATGAATCCTGAGTCTCTGTGATTATGTATGAAAAAAGTCTACATTAAAATAATTATCTCTTCATTTAAATGTATAGCAAGAAACTAATAAGAAACGATGCCAACCAAATGACATTGCACCCTTACAACTCTCAAAACTGAGTAACTATTAGTAAAGCGTAGCCTTTAACACTTCAAACACAATAGTTGTTAACATGTATATAAAATGCTACCTCAGACCGTAAATGCCAATATGTTCTTGAACATTTAACCTTGGTGTGACTACTGTTGTGGAAACTATTTTTGTAGCCCTCTAAATTGATATTCATGTTATCACTAGCGAAAGTTTGGGCATTAGTAATTATAAAATATTGCCCAGGTAAACTAGCCCAGGCAACGGCGCTTCCCGCTTGGAATGTGTAACAATGGCAATGCTGGGGATACTCCTCCTTTGCAGGGTTGAATGGAGAGTAGCAGCCCTGTCCCTCTGTCTTTCCAGAATTCTCCAGCACCTCGAACAGAGCCACTGGCTAGACCATCGCACCAAAAGCCTCTTTGTGGAATTTGTGGTCTTCAATGCTAATGTGAACCTGTTCTGTGTAGTGACCCTGATTTTGGAGTCCAACCATGTGGGTACGAAGACCTCTCCTCCCTCTGACCTGGGTATCTCAGAAGTCCCAATTTCTTATACCATTAGAAGACATTATTTTAATTAAAGTGATTGCACGTAATATAACTTTAAAAGTCAAATAGTTCAAGGCAAAAACTGGCAATCCTCACTTCCCACCTCATTCTTATGTCCCAGAAGCTGCTATACCTGACAGCTTTTCTAGTTCTTTTGGAATTCAAAATCAGTATGCTTATTAGCTATTTCAAGACTCTTCCATTTTAGGTAGTATGTACTTTTAATAATGATGAGGATTTAACTGACCTACACCCATACATATCCCTAAAATGCACCTTTTCTCTTCCCTCATTTTTACAATATAGCAATACAGTTTGATTATTTTCATTATTGTGATTTTTTTAAAGATTTTATTTATTTTTAGAGAGGGAAAGGAAGAGAAACATCAATGTGTGGTTGCCTCTCCAGTGCCCCTTACTGGGGACCTGGCCCACAACCCAGGCATGTGCCCTGACTGGGAATCAAACTGGTGACCCTTTGGTTCACTGGCCAGTGCTCAGTTCACTGAGCCACGCCAGCCAGGGCCATTATTGTGATATTTTCCAAAGGTGAGCCATATATTACAATTCAGTTTCCTATCTGTCATAACTGTTTATTTCCCCTAATTCATAATTACTTCTTTTTGTTTGCTTGCTTGGTTTTGCATGCATTCCATCATTGGAGATGAATCAAACTCTTCCTAGAAACAAAAATCTCATTCTTGTCAAAAGTGTCACATAACCTATCATTTTGTCCTTTTCTTAAGAGTCACCCTCTCCAGTGCCCTCCAACCTTTTGGCACAGCTGGGACTGGTTATTCTGTAGGCTTGTTCTAGAGCTCTTATCCTGACTGCCACACCAGGGATTCATTTCACTTCTCATCTGCTGAATTCCCTTTCTCCTAGATCCCATGTCTTTCTCTCTTGGTTTATTTTCTCATTTTTCTGGAACACATCCTCCAATAACTTCCTAGAAGGGTGCAAGGGAATTATTTGAAACCTTGCACGTCTAAAAAATTTTGTTTCATCACATTTGCTTATTTGACTGAATACCATTGTTTTCCACAGAACTTTTAAAAGTGTAGTCCATTGCCTTGAACTTCCTGCACTGCTGTTAATCAGTGTGACGATGTTCCCACTCCCAGGTTGTCACAATTGTCTCTTGGTCCCCAAGGTTATGAAGGGACCTGAGTGACCCGTGGCAAATCCTTTAATCTGGAACCGTGTCCTTAGGTTTTGAGACATTTTCTTTGCATTTCTTTGTAAATTTCTCCTCTATTTTCTCTTTTTCTGATATTCCTAGAATTTTGAGATAGGAACACCTGGACTAATCCTCTGATTTTCTTGTTTTTGCTGTTCCATCTTTTCCTTCTGAGTTCTTAGAGATCACTTCAATTTCTAAACCATTTGAAATGTTCATTTTATTTTAATTTCCAAAAATTCTGTTTGTTCTCATATTTCTTTTTCATGTTCTTCCGTTGTTTTATGAAATCAGTATCCTTTCAACTCTCTGAGGATACTATGGTTCATTTTGTTTTTAATCAGCTCCTTCACTTTCCTCTAAACTTTTTATTTATTTATTTAATACATAGGGTCTGGCACAAATAATGCACCTTCCTTATTACAAAATCATAAGTATGTAATTCTGTAACATAACAATATCACACTCAAGGACACCATATGACATTTTAAGTGAAATATTCAGATTAAAACTATTACTTATTACACCCATATTACTCCACCAACCACACCCAAGCAGGCATTACTTCTGCTGGACCCTGTATTTTGATCTCTAGTTTTCTATGTTAAAGGTTTAAACATCTGCCTGTTCTTTCATATTTAAGAGACAGTAAAAATTTAAGAATCAGCTCCAGAAGGGCCCAGTTTGCTGGTGGGAAGCCAGGGAAGTGACCGAAAGCCAGCAGAGAGCAGAGCAAGTGCCACTGTTACCTCTCTGACCCCTCCCCCACATACAGCGTCCTGGTGAACACTTAAGGCTCCGCCCCTCACTACATAACAGGTGCATCAAAACAAACAAATAAGGCCCAAATGAAAGAACAGATCAAAGCTCCAGAAAAAATACAACCAAGCAATGAAGAAGTAGCCAACCTATCAGATGCACAGTTCAAAAACACTGGTAATCAGGATGCTCACAGAATTGGTTGAATTTGGTCACAAATTAGATGAAAAAATGAAGGCTATATTAAGTGAAATAAAGGAAAATGTACAGGGAACCAACAGGAACAGGAAGGAAACTGAGTCTCAAAACAACGGTGTGGACCAGAAAAAAGAAAGAAACATCCAGAAGAAAAAAATGAAGAAACAAGAATTCAGAATAATGTGGAGAGGCTTAGGAACCTCCAGGACATCTTTAAATGCTCCAACATCCAAATTATAGGGGTGCCAGAAGGGGAAGAGGAAAAGCAACAAGTGGACAACTTATTGGAACAAATAATAAAGGAGAATTTCCCCAATCTGGCAAAGGCAATAGACTTCCAGGAAATCCAGGAAGCTCAGAGAATCCCAAAGAAGTTGGACCCAAGAAGGAACACACTAAGGCACATCATCATTACATTACCCAAGATTAAAATGAAGGAAAGAATCCTAGAAGCAGCAAGAGAGAAGGGGACAGTCACCTACAAAGGAGTTCCCATCAGACTGTCAGCGGATTTCTCAAAAGAGACCTTACAGGCAAGAAGGGGCTGGAAAGAAGTATTGTAAGTCATGAAAACCAAAGACCTACATCCAAGATTGCTCTATCCAGCAAAGCTTTCCTTTAGAATGGAAGGGCAGATAAAGTGCTCTCAGATAAGGTCAAGTTAAAGGAGTTCATCATCACCAAGCCCTTATTATATGAAATGTTAAAGGAATTTATCTAAGAAAAAGATAAAAAATAGGAACAGTGAAAGGACAGCAAACTCACAGTTATCAACAACCATACCTAAAACAAAAGCAACTAGAACAAGAACCACAGAAATGGCGATCACACAAAGGGGTATGAACAGGAGAGGGGGGGAAAAGGTACAGAGAATAAGCATAGATGGTAGGTAGAAAATAGGGGGAGGGTAAGAATAGGAAATGTAGAAGCCAAAGAACTTCATCAGTAAAATATATTGAAAAAATATTTTAAAAACCCAAAATAAATAAATGCTAATCAGCTGTGTATGCATGGAGCTTGTCGACTGGTATGTATGACTTTTCTCTTGGGCAGTGAGTTTCCAGAGAGGGGCACCGTCCAAACTCCTGCTTTAGGCTAGTGAGCCTTAGACCTCTCAGAGCCAGTTGAGGGAAGGGGGCTGGGAAGGGTCTCAGCATGCAGTATGTAAAGTTTCTCTTAATTTTCTTTTCCAGTAGACTTGCAGATGTGCCTGGTGCCTCTGAGTTCAGATTCTCTCTAGTTCAGTGTCACCAAGGTTGTGGAAGGCAGGATGGTTGGCAAGTATCTGGTCCTGACAGGGAGAGGGAATCAGGGATCTAGTTTGCTTATGTTCAGACGTGCAACCTGTTCTCAGTTCCACTTGACCCCCTACCTTCAGAAGGACCTGAGACCTCTCATTTCTCAGCCGTTCCAGGGTTTTGTGGTAAGAATTGGCTTGCCTCTGGGTTTCCTACTTAGGTTTCTGCTTTCTTGAATCTGCTGAGTCAGCATCATGCATCTATGTTCCAGCTTCCAAATTTGTCACTCCCTTTTGCCCTCCTCTCCTTTGTCACTTTCATCCCTTCATTGTCTTTGTAGTGGCATTTGGGAAAGAGCTGGAGGGAACCTGGTACATTCAATTCCCCCACCTTTAACAGGAAGACTGCCCTGATCCTGTTTCCTTTCTCTTTCTTCTCTCCCCCAGAATTTGCCCCCAAGTGTCTATTTACCACCAGCTTTTTACTTCTAATCAGGAACCCTCTTCCCAGACCCAGAGTAGACCACTTCTCTTGTACTTATAAATGAAGCATGAAGACTTCCTGAGGGTTTTCACTGTTAGTAACTACCAAAGGAAAAAAAAAAAGATAAGGGTAAAATAAACAAAGGGAAATTCCTAGTTTTGAGAGCCGGCTCTGTGAAGTAAGGATTTCTTTGTTCTTAAAATGTACTTTCTACTACAAGGGGTACATTTAGTACTAATATTTTGGGGCTTTACGAAAAGTTATATGCACAAGATCTTTCATGCGTTTATAAAACTTCAACATTATCACTGTCATTCTAGGTGGAGGCTGAAGCTTTCTAAGTCCATCCTCATACAAGCATCTGAGTATTTATGGGATACTGTCGGTATTCAGGGGACAGTATTGATGCTTTACACAGAAAATGTGAAATGGTTCAAAGCATTTTAATCACACTAATTTCTGAAACTGTATTTTAACACACTCACATTTAACCCCGTTGTCCATTGTACATGGCAGTCGTCAGTTCTTGCTCTAAAACATGTTGCAGCAGTGCCTGTCTCTGCCGCTGTCCCATCTTGGTAAGGACACCTGCCACCTGCAACGGCTAAGGTCACTGACACTGCCCTCCAGGTGGGATCAACAGTATAATCTCCCTCCACTGACTTTTACTGCAATCAATACATTTCACCAATACCTTTGCACACATGATCTCATTTAATGTTTATCACAACTCGAGAGGAAATACTGAGGTTAAAAACCCAAGAACATTTGAAATTAATGGTAGAGGCACAGTTGGGGTTATTTCAAAGACAGAGTTTGAAGGGAAGAGGCAAAAGCTGTAAAGACTCTTGACTCCAAATGTTTTTTCTCAGGTGCTTTCTTCGCCTCCGTCAGACTGGACACTTTGACTTCCCTTCAGACATCAAAGAAGGACTTTGCCTGGTCTGCCGTCTCCCAAGTCATCTATTATCTCCTAATTGGTTACTATGGCTTCATACAGGCGAGTCGGAAATGCCCAAATGTTAGATCTAAGAGTCTCAGGCTTATATAGCGAGTGGCACAATATGCTCTTGCTTGAATTATAGCTATGACTTTGGTCCTTTCCAGAAAAAGTCTGACTTCAGTTAGAGACTAACTGGTTTTGCACAGAGCAGCTCTTTCAGTTTACAACAAGTAAGTCAGTCTGTGGAAAGAGTATTATTTTCTGTGCAGTTGTATTACCCCTACGTAGGGCAACAGCAAGAGATCGAAAGTACGATGAACAGAGCAAGTATTCAAAACTACAGATCACTGTACTCAAGATATGTCCTAAGCCTAAGTTTATTTTCATTTTTTTTTCATTTTAAGACTTGATAAGTAATTTAGAAACTTTTTTTAAGTTTAAGCAACAAGAAAAATGACTACCCAAGAACGCTGTATTAGAGAAAGGCAACTTTTTAGTAAGTAGCAGCTCTGAATGACTCCAGCGCAGAAAACCGAGACCACAACCCACTGTGTCCAGATCAGGTCTGACAAGTCCCCAGCCGAGTGCTTTGCCAGTGTTCCTAACACCACCCTGGGGAGAGACATAGCTGGTCCTGCAGGCAAGCAGTGGTGACTGTGGTGTCTGTCTAGGGCTGCCGGCTGAAACAGCAGGGATGGAGGTTCTTCACAAGGAAAAAAAACCTTCTGGACATGAGCATAATCCTTATTGCCTTTGCCATCTTGGTGCTTGACACGAAGCTTATTTCCCTACATAAGAGAAACATGGCACAATACCACCACAACCGTGACAGGTAAGAGGGAGCCTGAGAAGCACAAGATACTCCTCCTCAATGTCCAGTCTCCTGTTTGCACGCGTGATCTCTCAAACTCCTCCTCCTCTGCCACTGCTCTACCAAATCTGTTTCCGTATAATGTTCACAGCAGAGGAAACAATGAACTAGAAGCTTATACTGCTGATCAGGTTGAAAAGCTTTTCAGTCTTTCACATAGGAAGGGCCTGGATTGGTCATTATTTTGCACCCTGACCAAGGAATAAAACCTGAGGCATGACAAATGATCCTTCTTTAAATAAAACCACAACACACAGTACATACTTTAAATCCAAAGCGGGCTGCTGTCTGGGTAGGAACATTCATCCACACTGAGACATTCTGGCGCCCCTTGGGCCTCATCCTCTGGTCTTTCTCATGGGGAAGAGCATCTTTGTCCCAAATCAAGTATTGCCATGTGGTGCTTCTCTAACATTTCAGTGGTCAACAGCCTGGGTCACTGATCTGTGTAAGACTGAGGCAGTGTCCCAGGAAGGCTTAGGAGGGGTGTTAATGCAGGGACAGTGGGTCTGTGCCGTTTGCCTGATGCTGGCAGCTGAGGTCCCCCCTGCCGTGGCCTTAGACACGAGCAGAATCGTGACTGAATGCTAGTGTGCTCACAGCAGCGGCGGTCTGTCCCAATAACCTGCTGCTGCAACATGGAATTATGAATGTATCTCTCAAATAACAAAAGCTAAACAAACAAAAAACCAACTTCGAACTGCTAAGTAACACCCCTTACCTCTACTTTACTATTTCTGCTCTCGGTACTGTTAAACCTATTAGAAGATCAATTATGTACGGCCAGAGAACAATACAGGATTAATGTTACAGAAAACAGATCAGCGTCATGGCCATCTCATCACACCAACTCCCGTCCTTTCCAGCGATTTAACTCAGACCAGCAGTAGAGGAGCCTGGCCTTGATTTTCAGGGTGAAATTGGAGTAAAGAAATCTAGAGGTCACATTTTGAGTTTTCTTCAGCACAACTCCCAAATTTTTTTTCTTTCTTTCTTTTTTTTAGATTTTATTCATTTTGGGGACAGGAAGAAGGGAGAGAAACATCAGTTGGTCGCCTGTTGCACACCCCCAACTGGGGACCCAATTGGGTCCACAACCCAGGCACGTGGCCTGACAGGAATCGAACCAGTGACTTTCAGTTTGCAGGCCAGGGTTCAATCCACTGAGCCACACCAGCCAGGGCCAAATATGTTTCTTTTTCCAGTGCTGTCGTATCCAAAATAACAGGAGGCCACACTAGAAAGCAGTTCTTACATGCATCTCACAAAATAGGCCTCACAGAACTGATGCACGTGGCAGCAGGAACCCTGGAGAAACTGATGTCACAGGCATTGATGATGGCACACACTTCGTGTTGAGTAACTCAGCCTTCCTTGGTACAGGTTCATCAACTTCTACGAGGCAGTCAAAGTGAACTCAGCTGTCATTCACCTCGTGGGCTTCCTGCTTCTATTGGCAACTGTTCGGCTATGGAACCTGCTGCATCATAACTCCAGGTTGCAGGTCATCGGTAGAACACTCAACAAAGCCTGGAGCGAGATGGTGGGCTTCATGCTGGTCATCCTGATCCTGCTGACAGGCTATGCCATTGCGGTAAGCCCCCATTTCAGTGTCTGTCTTTGCCTAAGTGCTGTGGTCTTGGGATCACGTTGCTTACTATAGAAAAGGCCTCTATATGGGAAATCATCCATTCAAGTTGGCAATGAGTTTTGGAAGAAATGTAGTGGCGTAAGAAAGCTGGTTTTAGTTGGGAGTTCCATACTTAATGAGCAATATGACTTAAACTCGTATCGGCTTGGCCAAAGAGTTCATTTTGCCATGAGATGGCTCAAGTGACACTTAGTTGTCTTTAACTTCATTTGAAGCAATTCTGTTATTGTATTATGACAGCTGTCATATCAGTGTGCATTGATAAAATAGGTGAATTAAGAAAATATGCGAAATTTCAGCATATTATGCTTTACTATTTCAAAAAAGATAAAAACAAAACTGAAATAAAAAAAAGATTTGTGCAGTGTATGGAGAAGGTGCTGTGACGGAATGTATCAAAAGTGGTTTGCGAAGTTTTGTGTTGGAGCTTTCTCACTGGATGCCCCGGGATCGGGCAGAGCAGCTGAAGTTTATAGTGACCAAATCAAGACACTGAGAACAATCAACATTATACCACACAGGAGACAGCCAACATACTCAAAATATCCAAATCAATAAAGTAATTGGTGAAAATTAAAAATGTATTTAACGGAAAAAAAACATAACTGTTTTGGCCAACCTATTACATTTGTTTTATCTCTAAAATGGCAAAAAAACTTAGCACATACAAACGTGAAGGTCAGAGTTACATGAAAACCCTGTAATTACAAAAGAATTTCATGTAATTTCTAGGCATACCTGAAATGGCCACTAAGGAACCTAATTTCCATTCCACTGGTTCTGCACTGACCTCATCCTTACCCAGCACCTCAAGACAAATGACTGCGCTAGCCTCCCCTGCGCTCTATGCCCTCTGACAGTTCTCCTTTCTTTTCAGTTGAACCTGGCGTTTGGATGGAGCATCTCTGAATACCGAACATTCTTCAGCTCAGCAGTGACTTTTGTTGGTCTCCTGATAGGAATCTCTCATTACGAGGAGGTGAAAACCCTATCCTGTTTTCCTCTCTATTTGCTTTAATATACAGGGTCGGGTAAAGTAGGGTTACAGTGTTGAGTACGTGAAGTTGTTTTTTTAATTGATTTTTTGAGAGGGAGAGTCATCAATTTATTGTTCCACTTATTTACACATTCACTGGATGATTCTTGTCTGTGCCTTGACTGGGGATCAGACCTACAACCTTGGCATATTGGGATGACACTCTAACCAACTGAGATACCCAGACAGGACCAAGAGTTTATTCTTGTACTATTATTGTTTTCCATTAAGGAAAAACTGTAAACTTACTTTTGCCCCACCCTGTATCTAACAAAGGGAGTACTGTTCATAAAAGCAGCCCCAGGACTCCCGCCAAGATGGAAGCATAGGTGGAAACACTTTGCGTGCTCACACAACCAAATCTAAAAACAAAGTTTTAACAACAATAAACACAACCAAACCACACAGAAAATCGACAATATGGAGTCCGAAAACAACAAATTGCTCAGCTAAACCGGTGAGAGGGGCGAAGCCAGCAGCAGAGCCAGTTAGGCAAAAAAGATCCCCGACTGGGGTGGTGCGCAGGCAGCCGAAGGCACGGATCCCAGGTGCAGGCTAGCTATGGGCGGACACAGGGAAGAGGCGCGGCTGGCTGTCTGCGGTCGGTCGCACATTTGCGCTCAGATAAGCAGGCGGGGGTGAGCGGTGAGGCAGACTGGGAGAGCAGAGAGGACTGCCATTGCTCCCTCTCTGACCCCGCCCCCACATACAGTGTCACAAACCAGCGACCTGGGTGGCCTCACCCTGGTGAACACCTAAGACACCTCTCCTCATAAGTAACAGGCACAAACAGATCAAAACATGGCTCAACAACATGAGCCATGAGCCCCAACAACTCAGAGCCCCAGAGCCAATAAATCTAAGTGATGAAGAAATAGCCAAACTTTCAGATGCACAGTTCAAAACACTGGTGATCAGGATGCTCACAAAACTGGTTGATTTTAGCCACAAATTAGAGGAACATATGAAGGCTAAACTAATTGAAATGAAGGGTAATGCACAGGAAACCAATAGTAATGGAAAGGAAACTAGGACTCAAATCAAGGGAGTAGACCAGAAGGAAGGAAAAAATGACCAAACAGAAAAATATGAAGAATCAAGAATTCAAAAAAATGAAAGGCTTAGGAACCTCCAGGACATCTTTAAATGCTCCAAGATCCGAATTATAGACGTACCAGAAGGGGAAGAGGAACAGTCACGAGTGGAAACCTTATTTGAACAAATAATAAAAGAGAACTTCCCCATTCTGGCAAAGGAAATAGACTTCCAGGAAATCCAGGGAGCTCAGAGAGTCCCAAAGAAGTTGGACCCAAGAAGGAACACACCAAGGCACATCATCATTACATTACTCAAGATTAAAATGAAGAAGAGAATCCTAGAAGCAGCAAGAGAGAAGGGGACAGTCACCTACAAAGGAGTTCCCATCAGACTGTCAGCTGATTTCTCAAGAGACCTTGCAGGAAAGAAGGGGCTGGAAAGAAGTATTCCAAGTCATGAAATCCAAAAACCTACATCCAAGATTGCTCCATCCAGCAAAGCTTTCATTTAGAATGGAAGGATAGATAAAGTGCTTCTCAGATAAGACCAAATTCAAGGAGTTCATCATCATCAAGCCCTTATTATATGAAATGTTAAAGAGACTTACCTAAGAAAAAGAAGTTAAAGAAACATGAACAGTGAAAGGACAGCAAACTCACAGTTATTAAGAACCACACCTAAAACAAAAGCAATCTAAGAGGACAGCTAGATCAGGAGTGAACCATAGAAATGAAGATCACATGGGTTAGCAACAGGGGAGTGGGAGGAGGAGAAGGGGGGAGAAGGTACAGAAAATAAATAGCATAGATGGTAGATAGAAAATGGGAGGGCAAGAATAGTATGGGAAATATAGAATCTAAAGAACTTGAGACACATGTTCAAGAACTAAAGGGGGGGAGTGGTGGACGAGGGGTGTGCAGGGTAGAGGGGAACGGAGTGGGGAAAATAGAACAAATATAATGGCATAATCAATAATTTTTTTTTTAAAAAGCAGCCCCTACTATACCACTGCACATTGGGAAAGGGAGACATTTAGATCCTTTGCCATTCTGGTTTACAGTATATACAGCTTTTGAGTGGCTATTACTTTTAGAAATCTGTCATTTTCTAAACACACAGTGCCAACCTCTCTCCCTTCTTGTATATCTACTACATCTTACAGCCAAGGAGATTGGGTCTGAAGTATACAATGGAAGTGACTTTAAAAAAACGGGAGGTACAGTTTCAGAAGAGCTGTGATAGTTCTGTTTACAGCTAACAAATACTGCAGATAGCCTATTATTTTTCCCCAGGAACTACCAACACAAATCCCTTTCTACTCAACACAAAATAAAGGAGGAAACCCAGATGAGGATTTGGGTCCAAAGCATAAGCATATAGATTCGATCAGGGAAGGAAAACTGCCAAATTAGTGAAACTATCAAGATTTACATCAAGGCTAATCATTCTGATCATCTAGATTTCAAAGCATGCTAATAAAAAGGGGGAAGTTAACATAGTTTCTAATGTGGAAAGTTGTCACTTTCCTGGGTGAACTGTTGTAGTTTTAGTCCCAATCACTATGGAATGAAGTCCTCAGCCCTGGAACACTTTATATACTGAAGTAACAACAATCAGAGTAAATAACACGCTTTTACTAACACCTACTTTTGGGCGATTTTTTAAAATCTTTGTTCTAATCATAACTGTACAATGTAAAGGTTGACTAGAGTTATATTTATTGGGGAAAAATTTTATCACATCACAAACCCAAACAGATTGCCTAAGCTTAATATAATTAAGCACTTTAAAAGTGGTGATACACGGACTAGGAAATGTTTTGACATGTAGATTTCCATCACAGTGATATTTAGTGTAAGTATTCACTCTCTAACTTGCTGTTTTGTTTTTTTTTAAAAAAAACAGTGCCAATAACGAAAGAGCCAATTCCAAGGGAAAATAACATCAGTATTGGAGAACCAACATCATTTGTTAAAATATACACCTAAATTAAGATTGTTATGGAAACCACTCGTTTAAGTTCTTTTTAGAAAGATTTCTTTATACTGAAAAGAGTAACACAACTCAGTACTTACCCATTTAAAGGTAACAATGAAAAAAATACTAAATTAAAAGCTGGTTTTCTATGGCTATTTTATTGGAATGATTCCGTGTTTAGAATGTAAGTTTCTTGGAATGGCAAAGATAGTTTTCATTGTTGTGTCTGGTATCTGCTCTTTTAAATACGCTTTTGCTACTCCTCAAAGCTTCCGTGTTTAGATATATAGGCGTTGGCAAAAGTACGTTTACACTTGTTCATAGGGAATATACTACAACAATAAACTTGTTTCACATATTCACAACTGTAAACCTACTTTTGCTCACCCCTGTATTTTCTGGAATTGCCAGAACTCAAACGGGCTCCCATTTCAGCTCACCTGTTTTCTTCCTGTGAAAGCCCTGAAGGCACCCTTCGAGTCGGGAGTTCTTGCTCTTCTGTCCTTCAGAAGTTATTATTCTCCTTTTTAATAGTTATGCTTTTCTTCCTAGTTTCTACCCAACATGGTTTATGTGAGTATATCCCAAACATTAGCTAGCATATAATTTACATTTTTTTAATATTTATTTATCTTTAGAAGGGAAGGGAAGGAAATATCAATGTATGGTTGCTTCTGGTGCATCCCTTGCTGGGAACTGGCCTGCAACCCAGGCATGTGCCGTGATGGGGAACTGAACCTCGATCGTCTGGTTCGCAGGCCCACACTCAATGCACTGAGCTACACCTAATTTACATTTTTAAAGTAAAAATGGTCAGTTTTAAACTCAGTGTTTTTATTGCCTTTCCAGATTATCGCTCTATGCCCAGTGCTGGGCTCCTTTCTGATCCTCACCAGCGTCATCTTGATGGTTCTTGTGATCATTAACCTTTTTGTTTCTGCCATACTGATGTCCTTTAGTAAAGAAAGAATGTTTCTTAAGGTAGGTAACTGGGTGGCTTGATAATTTCTACACAGGTTTCTCCCACTACCCGAAAGTAGAGCACATTCCTATGAAGACTTTCAAAAGCCAAAATGGCGTAAGTAAAGATGCAATCACCATTAACTTATGTGGGATGTTTTTATGCTTTCCCAGACCCCTAAAATAGCCTACCAAATAATACATCAAACCTGAAACACTAACATAGAGTAAAAGCAGGAATGATGTAATATACAGCGATGTAAAGTAGTAATAACGTGCAGTGTAATTTCACAGTGTGCACTGCCTCTAACAGCTCACTGCAAACACTGAACATAATTTCACTTTTCTGCTTTTCATAAAAGTGAAAGTCCTCTTTAGATTTCTTTTGATTGGCAAAAATAAGTACTAATAACATAGGTCTTTCCTAAAAGTTAAGTGGCATAAAGTGGGGAATTACCTGTATATAAAAAATATCACATTTTTTTATGACTGGAAAAGCCTGACTGTCGCTGCTCTTAAAATTACAGATGCAGAAGGTCAGCCTATTCCCTTATTTTGGTCTCCACGGCTCTGCCATCTATTTTCCCAGGAAATCCAATTTTACCAAGACTAAGTTATGTTCTAGCCACTGGCCTATAATGCCAGAACATTATAGCTGATCCTCAGCTATTAAGCATTGGAGTGTTTCTGCTTAACAGCAAATTAAAGGAAACAGTATCTTTACAGTGTATGTTTACTTTTTTTTGACACTTTTTTCCTTCAACATGAGCAACAAATTCATTTTATTTTCTCCTCATGTCTTCCCATAGAGTTGGAAAGAAGCTGCACTGATAGATGTGCTGCTACAGAAACTCTCCAGTCTGTTAGGAATACAGTACGCCAGAACACATGTGAGTAAACAGCAACAGGCACTGACACTAAACTGTTAAAAAATGAACTATCTTAACCCTTTTACCACCTAGCTAATACCTATTTTTGCACAGTGTAGCTTAGAAAATTTGGTCATTGAGGAATCAAAGTCCCCTTCACTGACAGCGTTAGGGATTTTGGCACTGTTGGGAAAGGGTTAACGCTGCAAAAGCGACACATTAAACTGACTCTGCTGCCAAAGAGCAAGAAACAGAACCCTCACAATCCATGTTCCAGGATGGTTGTGGGGAATATGAATGAATCAAAGGTGAACTCACTGCAGCTTGTTAAAAATGTACAAGCCTGGGATCTGGATGATGACGAGCATTTCCATACTGTGTGTGTGCCTTGCTCTAATTTAATTAGGTCCTGGACCCAAGCCAGAAGCCTCTGCAAAGGCCCAAGAGTATCCAGGCAAACTCACAGACGCCATCTGGGCTCACATACAGAGACTACAATGGGCCCCTTACTGCTACAGGCATCCACGTTCCCCAGGAAGCCCAAGGTAAGGTCTGACTTGTGCCTAAGCATGGATTGCTTACTTAAAATATTCTCTCCAAATGGTGGGGGAAATGGAGACAGATGTACTTCAACAATTAGAAAAAAGAAAATTCTCCACTAAAATCCACAGCTCATTTGATCACACCAGTAGAGAAAGCAGGGCACACAATTTTAAACTTTATTATCAGCTGCTGAGCTATGAGATACAAACCAATCAAAAAACATTAAAGAAAAGGTACTCGAAACAGAGGTATACACAGATACTTTACATAGAAGCCAAAGTCGTTATCTTCCAATCCCAAAGCCATCCCCGTGGGAAAAGATGACCTTAGCTAGGGAACAGAGGAGCATGTTTGTTACAATGTAATAGTCTCCCTCCATCGAGGAAAGCAGGAAACTATAGCCACATGGGCACCAAAATTTGAGATCAGTTTTTAAAGGTTCTTAAATCATAAAGTTTTCAAATGAAAACAGGAACCCCTCTTCTGTAGGCCTTCCAGCTCACTATTCAAAAGACTTGAATACTTCTATTAAGGCACCTGGAAGCCTACCTTAGCCTTGAATGGTGACTTCTGCCCATTTCGTGGCCTGTCCTGCCTTAGGAATGCGATCCAACAGAACATGCAATGGGAAAAACAGTAATTTACACAGTGCTGCCCTCTGGTAAAAGGGAAGTGCAGCACTCAAAGAAAAAGGCCACAAGGGCTCCCTGTGAATCCAGTGGAAATGAGAGAGGCCTTTAACTTTGCAACTGGATCCAGGTGGAACATTGCCCTGCAGCAAGTAGTGTATATGCCAATTACAGGACCCAGCTTCCAAGAACCATTACAGCAGCTTCCTGCGTCATTTTCTCCATTTGTCTCAGCTTTGATCCTCGCTCACCACAAATGCCTCTATACAGATGGGTTTATTTTCTAAGTACCTCATCTCAGGGCTGAGACACTTCCTGAAGTACTCTCTTCCACAGCCCATCCATCTTGATCAGCTTTCTCCACAATGCTTTGTGGAACAAGCAAGGAGAACCTGGGATCATACTGACGGGAAACAGATAAGCATGGCTTACAGGAGTCAGCTGGTCTGGCCTCATAGTGTCTCCAGTCATTTGTCTGTTAGGAGCAATAAAGAACTGGCAAGCTGCACAGTTTGGTAGAACAGGAAGAGAGCCCAGAGGAAGAGTGTGCTCAGTGATGGTTAAGAGATGGAACAGAATTTCATGGAGATTTCTTTGTTACAATGAGAAAGTACTCAGTCTCAACTCCCAGAATTTTGACGTTGCCTGGTTTAAGAGGCCTATGTTTTCTTTTTCAACTCTTCAAATCTCCGGGAAAGATCATCAAAATCAATGTCCTCAGATGCTGAGGTGTTGGCACCAGCAGATGGTAGCGTATCTGGCACAGACGGCAACTCTGGTAGTACAAAGTTGTCATACGTATCCACGGGTCTGGAAGGGGGCTTTGCAGAGGCTTCTGGCTTAGATCCAGGACCTAGTTAGGGCAAGGAGCAGTGTTAGAAATGCCAGAGAAGTAGCTCAGCTCCTCAGAGCCCCCAGTCCCCTGTGGCAGAAACAATTAAAATTACAGTAGAAAACACTAGTTTTCCTTTTAAATGGTTAATATTGAATTCTATAGGGAAGTACACAGAGCATTCATTTAAACAAATTGTCCCCTTTCACAAAGGCCTGCTCCTGTAACAACCAAGTCTAGAGTGGTACCACAGTTCTGTTGGGACGAAGCTACTCTTTTAAGGCTTAGGGGGAAAAATTTTTACATGAAATGTTAATAATGTCAATCTTATTTGATGTACAATAACAGGATCTGTACTTAAAATCAATCACCCACCCACCTCGCTACTTACTGTAATGTCCCTACTGTTAATGTTTAAGAACAGTGCTTGCCTCTGGGGTGGAGCTGACTGAAAAGGAATATAAGGGAACTTTTCTCAGGTGATAGAAATATCCTATGTCTTACCAAGGTAGTGGTTACATATTGTGTGTGTATAGACACATGTAATATCAAAATGTATACTTCTGTACTTCTGTATATAAATTATATAAAAATACAACTGTCTAATCTTAAAAAATATACACCCTTGGGATTTTAGGGTGCTGGTGGTAGTTTATTTTTTGAATGGACAGCTACATGAGCCTTGCCTGCTTTATGAAAAGTCAATGAGCTATTCACTTACAATTTGTGCCTATTTACACCTTTTTTAAATTTCCAGGCACAATGGAAGCTAAAGTAGCAGGAACATAAAGAACTTAAGAGTAACTGAAAACCAGACATTGTTTCTGGTGTCCTTTTTCACACACTGTCATTTTTTCAGAGAGATTCTCCGGGCTAGGGAAGAGTTTTTTCTTTTCGGAGGAGGGAAATCCTGAGTTCTGTCTCTGCTATACTACACCTGGAGGGATGACAGGGCATGTGAGTTAAATGCCATGTACAGGAAAACCACGTAATGAGAATCAGTAATGAGCTCGGCACTGAGCCTGGAGGGTTTCTAACTTACACTCACCAACAATCTGTGCAGAAGAGACATTCTTATCAGCATTACTGTCATCAACCTGAAACACAAAAATTGTTACCAGAGAAGAAAACAATGGCATTCCTGGAGAAAGAACTGCTATAATATATAAGCCCCTGAACTTCCCAAAAGCTAAGCTGCTTGGCAAAAGCAACAGAACCTGCTCCAAAGAAACTGCCCCTCCACTTCTTCTGATCTTCCCACAAAGACAGATACCACATTGAACACAACCACCAAGCAGGGAAAAAGAAAAACCTAACAACACCGCTAACACCTCTTTAAACTGATACCTTCACCTTTCACAGAGAGAACACTAAGCGAGGAGCTAAGTCTTCAAACGCTAGTGAAAAGCATCTACCTCATTCCTAAGAAGAGTTTTGGGCAATGCCTCAATGCACATAAAACCAGAACAAAAACTCAGGCCCAATGTAAAAACGAAAGGAAACAATACGAAGCAAGCAGGGTAACAGGAGACTCTCCCTGGATGAATCATTTCCACAACAAATGCTATACCAATTTGTTTCCTCAGTAATGCATCAACTGGAAATAGCTCAAAACGCAGGTACTAGCTGAGCAAGTCGGGCTGGCAGTAAAAAAGTCATCTAATTCTAAACCAAAGCTGCTCCAACCACCTACAGTTCAAGACAGCATTACCATAACAGCCAATTATACCCAGTTTTATGTGTAAAACTAAAAAGTACAATTAATGCTACAAGCTGAAACTTACTAACTGGACAATTCTATGTAAGATAAAAGTCTGGTCACTATTCTCTTACACGGTACTGAGAATTTATAGAACTGGTAGTTCAATTATTACAATACTCCAGCACCAAGACTGTATCAGCTTCAATTAATTCTCTACAGTCAACCAGTCTTTTTTTTAAGTGCCCTGCTAGAGCCATCCAAGAGATCTGCGGCTCCCTCCTGATTTCTGGCTGAACTGCAGACAAAGCATTGCCACCAATGATGCTGCCACCACCACACCCCACTTCCAGGGTAATGTTAAAGCAACACAAGAATCCAAAGCAAGAGCAATGCTGGTACTAGGAGTTGATCAAAACTTCGCCTTCCCTGTGGCCATTATTTTGCTCTCTTCATGGGAGTCACTCTTCTGCTGCTTATAAAAGAGGCTCAGGCACTTACAGATTCATACGATGGGGGAACTGCTGGTATCTGAGGTGGATGAATATTGGGAAAGGCCTGAAAAGCCCCCATTGGCAATCCATTGAAATCCGACTGCAAGAGGAGAAAGGCAAAATCAGAGACACTGCCCCTATTTAGCAATTTACTGAGGTTTGTGTATGAGAAGGGAGAAATAGATATACACACACATAGGAGGTCTTCAAATATCATTTCATTAAAACATTGAATACCATAGGAATGTAACTCTTGTTTCTAACATTTAGCCTATGGTAAAACCTAGTTTCCTAATACATCATTTCACTTAAAGTCACAGAAATAGCAATGACATTAAATGATAAACTATACACATGTATCAATATATATACTACTCAAGAGCCACAAAAGAACAAAACCTAAAATACCACATCATCAGAAGGATTCCAGATTCTTAAAGATCTGTAACCAAATTACTAAATCAATTAGGGAAGATTATTAGATTTTATTAGCAATTACCTTCAACATCTTGTCTACAAAATAGGTTTTTCTACTTGGTAATAAATGACTGTGTTCATTTTTGGAAAAAGCTACTAGTACAGCTACAACAGGTTCCCAAATATGTTCAGTGAAAAAAAACACGAATATGAGTTTTTCTAACACTATCTCTCCAGATTTTCCCCCTGCATTAACCTACTGCTGAACCAAAAGACTTTCTCTAAATCCCAACATTTTTTCACAATATATGATTATTAAGCTAATACCAAATGCTCTTACTTTTAAATCCTCTTGACAACCTAAAATTTCTGAATGTTTTCAGAGCCAACTTGTCACCTTCTGTTACATGTTCTAGAGCTTACACCACATCTATTTACACGTATACTTACTGGTCCCTTTGGAAGAGGGTATGAGAAAGGAGTACTTGGAGAGGGCATGGGCATGGGCATAGGCATTGGCACTGCTCCATCAGGTACACCAACTGGGGCTGTGAACCCGCCCCCTCCTCCTCCTCTTCCAGGGCCCCCTTTCTTCACATCATCTGTGAATCCAACATCAATAAGATCTGTCTCTACTCCAGGAGGAGCCTCTGCCTGAGAAAAAGAGAGAAACCCACATCATTAGCCCACATCACAGGCTAGGTTCCCAGGGAACAAACTTGGAGATGGAGATTAGCATGATGGAAGTTTACTGGGGCAGTCTCTTGGGATAATGACCTACAAGAAAGTGAAGGAAGCCGGGAGGGGTAAAGGAAGAAGCTGGGCTGTCATGCAGTCAGAGGCTTCAGCCAGCGAGCTCTGAAGCTAGCTAGGAAGGATGAGCCTACAGCAGATGTCCCCAACTGTGTCAAAGGAAAAGTGTCTCTGAATCCCTGCACCGACCAGTTATTAAATACAAGCCACCCTCAGGAAAGACTTTGTGTAGGAAAGCTCTTTCTTCTGCAAAGAAGCACTCAGCTTTGTATGAGACACCAATCATTAATAATCTCAAGAGATGGAAATAAATGTTTCTATTCTGAAGCAAGTGTGTATATTTGGGGTGGGGGTTGTCTAAGTAGCATACTAAAGCATCTACTATACTCACTGACCCTAACTGCTGAATAATTATATTTACATATTTACCCTCCTTACACTGTAAGCCTCTTCAGGACATGGACCTTGTTTTTATGTATCTCTGTACTCTCAGCTTTCTGTTTATTGTATGGCATGTCACAGGTACCCGATGAACATTTCAGGGTTTGTTCTGGGTCTTACGGCATTTCTCAATACCCACAGGATGATTCATAATTCCTGGATCTTCATCAAAAACCAGCAATGCCTTGGCCAGGTAGCTCAGTTGGTTAGAGCATCAACCCAATATGACAAGGTCACAGGTGTGATCCCTGGTCAGGGAACATGCAAGAATCAACCAATGAATGCATAAATAAGTGGAACAAAAAATGTCTCTCTCCCCTCACTACCTTCCTCTCTCAAATCAACAAATTAAAAAAATATATTAAAAACAAAAACAGCAATAATACTATTTTGAGGATTTGTACCTTTTCAAAGTGCTTTCAGGCATTTGTTTTATCTGATCCTTAAGTATTCTGTGAGATATGTAGGCACAATTATTTTTATACAAAAAGGGAAAGGCTTCAATTTCCACATACAAACTGTAGTGAAATAATATGCTTATAAAGAAAGTGATATCTAGAGACTCACTTTTCTGTGTACTCTGAAAGACTCTAAACCTACCATGACCACGGAGTCAGGTTCATAGGGCACATTGTAGTTCTTGGCAATTTCAATCAGGTATCTTTCCACCAGGATTTTAGGCGGAGCTTCTACGCTCAGTTTGTGCATTAGCTGTAATTGAAAGACCCAAGATTAAGACGCATCTATACCAACTAGCCTAAGCCTAATGTATCTCACTTGTAAATTTTGTTCCTCTCACTTTATAGGTAAACTGAGGCAGAAAAAAAGGTTCAGACTAGTTAATGACTTTTTTCCAGCTGCAAATTACATTACAAGACCCATATCACTCTGACAATCTCTGGTTACATGACCGAGGTGTTGGTGAAAAGCTGATACTGCTGCCTTCTACATCTCAATTCATCTGCCCTTCTCCCAACCTCACTTCTACCTCCACAAATTACAAGGGGCACAAAGAATAGGGGCGAGTAAGAAAGGACACAGGACAAATCAGGGTAAGGAGTTGACTGCATTGCCTACCAGAGAGCCTTCTCCCCACCCTCACTGTGACATGTGCAGCCATAGACTCACCCTACCATACAGTGGTACCCATTAGAGCACTGCAGGCAATAAATCAACCTGCTCCCACCCTGCCCACTGGTTCATGTTTAACAAGTATGTTTGTTACCCTGTCATTCACAGTTCCAATCTGGTTGGTTCTACATAACTTGCCATATTCCTTGCTATATTTGGCACAGAGCTGATCAGCAACCTACAGGGGAAAAAAAAGAACAGTAAATAAAAGTGGAAACCATTTCTAAAGACTGCTTCGAGTTCTCTCCTATCAATAGTGAACAGGCTTCTATTACAGGGCATCCAAAAAAACTGGGGTCTGTAAAATCTAAAGGGGTACATACTAATTCATTCAGCTATTTGTTTATGCATCCATCCACTGAGCCACAATGTGCAAAACTATAAGCATTATGATATACACTGTAAACATGATGAACAAAACCAGACAATGTTTCCACTCCTAAGAGTTTTACAGTCTAGCGAAAACAGCCATTACTTAATCACACAGGTAAAGGTACAAATGCATCTGTACTAAGTGCTACCAAGGGAAAGTACACCATACTACAAACAGCTTATGACAGAATCAGATCTGATGATTAAGAAAAAAAGTCCTGACCAGTATAGCTCAGTTGGTTGGAGCATCATCCTTCAAAGTGAAAAGTCACCAACTCAATTCCCAGTCAGGGCACATGCCTTGGGTGTGGGTTCGGTCCCGGGTCAGGGCATGTATGAGAGGCAACCAATGGATGTTTCTCTCTCACATCAACATTTCTCTCCCTCTCTTCTTCCTTCCCTTCCCCCCTCTCTAAAAATAAATAGTATCTTAAAAAAAAAATAATGGGGTGGTACACATACAATATACAAATGTACAGATGTATTATAGACTTGTATACTTCAAACTCTTATGTTATTAACAATGTCACCCCAATAAATTAAAAAAGTCAGGTAAGGCTTCCAGAAGAAAGCAGTACGTCACTAAGATACAAAGGATGATTAGTAGTTAACTAAACAAGTGAAGGTGGGACATCCCAGGAAGAGAAGAGAACATGGTTCGAAGGCCTCAGGTAGAAAAACAGGGCCAATCCTAATTCCAAAATAAGGACAGTAAGCCTCTAGTGCAGAGCCTGAGGGAAGAAATGAAGAAAGGCAACTGGGGCCAGACAATGCAGGGCTCTGCAGGCAATATTAGAAGTTCAGTTTCTATCATAAGCACAATGGAAAGATACTAAAGGGCTTTAAAACACAGTGACAGGATCCCATCAGTGTTTTGAACAGAACCTCAGTTCTGATGGAATGGTGAACAGAATAAAGAAAACCAAAGCAGGTATACGAAGAGTATTCAAGAAGTTATAACAGTCTAGGCAGGAGATGACAGTGGCATTGAACCAGAGTGGTCCCAAAACCTGGGAGTTCAGTGAGGGGACCCTCACTGTCCAAAATGTAGACTTTCAGGGATACCTGGTAACTTAATTAGTTTGTCATATGTCTTTTGATAATGATTTTTGTTATGTATTATATTATGTTGGATTTAAAAATACTTGTTGGTATTAATTTATCCCTTTATGGCTTTTGTGGTATACTTTTTTTAAGTCTGCATGGTTTTGTTCAAGTTTTTATGGTTTTATTATTTAAAAAACATGTAAATCTTTTCCAATTGGAGTTAATTTTGATATAAGGAAGCATAGGAGAAGCTAAAAACGACACTGAGGTTAAAACTATGTAAGAAGCAGTTGCCCTACTCTCCCCTTCCTCTACCCACGAAACACTATGCCTATTCTCCCTGCTCTGCCAGAACACGGATTTACTCTCTGGGGAGGTTAAACTGAAGGGACTCTGGACTCCAAGCACAGCAGAGATACTTACTGACAACAGAAGAATTAAGTGTAGGTCTTCTTCAAGAAAAGAATGAGACCTTTGGCTTCCTTCTCTCCTGGGCTCTCAGAAATGCTGACCCAGCTTATACCTTCCAGGTGTAGGATTCCTCTCTGAGGAAAATGACCAACCCAAGGAAAGAAAACTAGTTCTTGACAGTCTGGCGTTCCCTCAAGAAAGGGCTCAGTCAGATCATTCAACAATGAAGGAAACTGACAATAAGCCCCACCCAGGCACACAAAAGGTTCCAAACTGCTTTTTAGTATCTATAAAATAAACCAACAGCCAAGAATCACCAAAACTGAGAAAAGTCTCTACTACGAAACAGTCTAAATCTGCCCCAGTCAGGTGGCTCAGTTGGTTGGAGCACTATCCTGTACATCAAAAGGTCGCAGGTTCAAACCCCAGTTAGGGCACGTATGGGAGACAAATGACTGACATTTCTCTCTCACATCAATGTTTCCCTCCTCTCTCCCCCTCCCTGGCCCCTTCCTCTCTCTAAAATCAAATATATCCTGAGATGAGGATTAAAAAAATAAAATCATCTAAATCTAAGAAACAGAAGAAAACAAACATTACAGAAACAAAAATTAAAAGGAAACTATAATATTCTTGGCAAGTTAGAAGACACTGCAGCCATGAAACAAAAACAACAGAGTATAAAAAAAGTATTCAGAAAATTAAAAAGAGCTCTTAAAAAATACAAACAGAAGAGAAGGAAATCTCAAAAGTTGGGTTGGGAGACAAGACTGATAATCTCCAAAAAGATAAGACAAATACACAAAGATAGAGAAAGTAACTGACCTGTCTTCAACTGAGTCAATACCATACCTACGTGTGGCAGGCAATTTTTTAGCTAATGTCTGTCTTGTCTGCTAGACTCTAAGCTACAAGTACAGGGCTGGTATCCTATTTGGTATAGGTATAGGTATCCTATTTTGCTCATCACTATATCCTCAGTGCCTACCTAGCTCTCACATCTGCTCAATAAATATTTGTGTAATGAATGAAGCAAAACCATCTAATATAAATTTGTCATTTTAACTTTACTGGTTTACAGTTGTGTAAGACTTTTCTATTTATATATACTTAACACCTATCAAAACAAAAAATAGATGGTGTCACTTTAAAATGGAACCTACGCTCCCAATGCCCGAGGAACTGCTTTGCATATCTTATGCCTCAAATCTCTGGAATGTTAAAACAGGGCAAAATCTCTCTGGGCTGGGCTGGGCTTAGGGCAACAGTGTGTCTCCCAAAGAACTGTTTGCCCAAGTAACAAGAAACCACTAAAATGAAAATTAAAAAACATTAGTTAGAATTAACATTACCATTATCTGCCCCAATAGAAATGCCTTTCTTTTATTGATGTAATCAGTCCCCTTTCCCTTCCAATAAATATCCATTGCCTTTGACTCTTAATGGAAACACTATTTGGGCTTCTGCCTAAAGCTGTGCGTCCCCAGTAGCTGTTCTTATTGATTTGAAATAAATGCTTATTGCCTCTCACTTTGAAAGGCCCTTTGCTCCTTAAAATGATTATTCGAGGTTGCAAAACACTTTTTTATTCTATGATATAAGAGGTCTGAAAAGGAGGAACCCTGTGTCAAAGGCAGCATGAGAAGAGTACAAAACACCTGGTTACATAAGCAGAAATGACTTACATTAACCAACCTTCCTAACAATACGAAAAGCTACAGACATCACTGAAACTTGTCATACTCACTATTTTCAACTCAGCCACTTCTGACTGGAGTCGAGGAGCAGCCCAGATCAGCGTAGACACAGATTCAGCCAGACCAGAATCTAGCTCCCTAATTAAGGAAAAAATTAATAAAATTTAACATTCTTTACAACAAACCAACAAACCCTAACAACTTTATGATATACCAGATAGTCTCTAAAGCTATTTCACAAATCTCATTAAATATTCAATAACTCTCTACTTCCGCCAAGATGGAGGCATAGGTGGATGTGCCGAGCCTTTTCACACAACCAAGTTTAGAGACAACTAAATAGTAGCAACAGAAAACACAGCCAGAACATGGAAAATTGAACTTTTCGGAGGTCCGTTAACAACAAATTCTTCAGCCTGACCGGTAAGGGGCGAAACCAGCGGCTGGTGAAGCGGGATTGCACAGGAGGTCTCGGTCAGCCGGACTCAGGCGCCCGGAATCCAGACGCAGGAATCTAGGTGCAGGGTTGGACCTAGTGAGCGACAGCGAGCGGCCAGGCGAGCAACTGTGGGGGAGACAGCGGGGGAGCAGTGCTGCGTGTTGACTGTGGTCGCCCATTTGTGCGCAGATGAACAGGCGAGGGAGTGGGCGGTTGGACTGGGGCCGGCAGGTCCCCGCGGCAAGCGGCAGTAGAGGGCGCCGCCATTTCCCCACTCTGACCACGCCCCCACATACAGCGTCATAACCCAGCGACTCTGAGTGGCCCGGCCCAGGTGAACAACATAAGGCGCTGCTCCTCACCCAGCGGCACGAAACAGCAAAGGGGGTCACCATTTCCTCGCTCTGACCACGCCCCCACATACAGCGTCACAACCCAGCGACCTGGGAGTCCTAGGCCACGCTTCTCACACTTAAAGGGCCAGAACAGACCAAAAATGGCGCAAGAAGATCTCAAAGCCCCAGAGCCTATAAATCTAAGCGATAAAGAAATAGCAAAACCCTCAGACCACAGTTTAAAACACTGGTCATCAGGATCCTCACAGAACTGGTTGATTATAGCCACAAATTAGACAAACATATGAAGGCGAAACTAATTGAAATGAATGGAATTGCACAGGACACCAATAGCAATGAAAAGGAAACTGGGACTCAAATCAATGGAGTGGACCAGAAGAAAGCAAATAATGGCCAAACAGAAAAGAGTCAAGAAGCAAGAATTCAAAGAAATGAGGAGAATCTTAGGAACCTCCAGGACATCTTTAAACGCTCCAACATCCGAATTATAGGGGTACCAGAAGGGGGAAAGGCACAGCCACCAGTGGAAAACTTATTTGAACAAATAATAAAGGAGAATTTCCCCAATCTGGCAAAGGAAATAGACTTCCAGGAAATCCAGGGAGCTCAGAGAGTCCCAAAGAAGTTGGACCCAAGAAGAAACACACCAAGGCACATCATAAATACATTAGCCAAAATTAAAATGAAGGAGAGAATCCTAGAAGCAGCAAGAGCTAAGGGGACAGTCACCTACAAAGGAGTTCCCATCAGACTGTCAGCAGATTTCTCAAAAGAGACCTTACAGGCAAGAAGGGGCTGGAAAGAAGTATTCCAAGTCATGAAATCCAAAGACCTGCAACCAAGATCGCTCTATCCAGCAAAACTTTCATTTAGAATGGAAGTTTTTAGAATGGAAGCACTTATTAAAGTGCTTCTCAGATAAGATCAAATTCAAGGAGTTCATCATCACCAAGCCCTTATTATATGAAATGTTAAAGGGACTTACCTAAGAAAAAGAAGTTAAAAAAACATGAACAGTGAAAGGACAACAAACTCACAGTTATTAACAACCACACCTAAAATGAAAGCAAACTAAAAGGACAGCTAGATCAGGAGTGGAAACAGAAATGAAGATCTCAAGGAGGGTTAGCAACAGGGGAGTGGGAGGAGGAGAAGGGGGGAGAAGGTACAGAAAATAAGTAGCATAGACAGTAGATAGAAAATAGATGGGGGGGGCAAGAAGAGCATGGGAAATATAGAATCCAAAGAACTTGAGACACATGGTCATAAACTAAAGGGGGGGTAATGGTGGGGATGGGGGGTAGGGTGGAGGGGAATGAAAGGGGGGGAATAGAACAACTGTAACAGCATAATCAATAAAAAAATTTAAAAAAAATTCAATAACTCTAAACTTCTAGCCATTTTCATCACACTATTTTACTTCTGCAAAAACTCAAACTAAATGATGCACCCAAGGTCACAGTCAGAAAATGGTCCAGCCAAGATTCACTCAGATTTAGGCCTCGAGTTCAGTTCTATATTTTCTTTTCAACAGTTGTCTACATTGGAATCAAGCCTTCAAGCAAATAGTAGGAAAAAGGTCCTTGGGTATGTAAAATAGTCCCTTGGTGCTAGCCTCCTACATATAGGAAGTCCATATTGCCCCTTTCTCAAATTCCAGGGCTGATTTTATTCAGCTCTTTGATCAAAATATCTCACTTCATTAAAGTTATATATATAAGGTGAATAAGTTCTAAAGATCTGCTGAACACTGTACCTATAATTAACAATACCATATTGTGCACTTAAAAAATTTTATTAAGAGGATATATATCTCATGCTTTGTTCTTACCGAAAAAGAAGGGAAGGAGGGGATACAAGGAAACTTTTGGAGGTGAGATGTTTTCTGCCCTGACTGTGGTATCTGTATATACATGTATGCATGCATCCAAACTCATCGAATTCTATGCATTAATTATGTGTAGTTTTTCTCTATCAATTATACATCAATTTAAAAAGAGATACACACACACACAATCTTACTTCATAGACTGAATGAGGCCAAACCGGGCCAGCAGCAGGTCACAGTACAGCTCCAGGATCTCCATGGCCTCCACGAGGTAGTCTTCCCGTATAATGTGCTCCACTCGGATCCGAGCTCGCTCATCTTTCCCAGCAGCCAGGTAGTCAGCAATCTCTTTCCTTGCTTTCTGGGCCAGTTCCGCTACGGCACAAATCCCACTCTAGTCACACAGCAGTAGTACACCAGGCCATGGCCTGCAGGCGACCTCCACCACAACAGAGACAAGGGGGTGTTTCTATCATGTCCTCCCTAACTCACTCTCCCTTAGCAAATCTAGTCTGGAACTTGCTATTTAGTCTAGGTGAGAATATTGTGTAGCCAGAAATTTCAGGAGTCATGCCATCTATTTCATATTAACAGAGTATGTCCCTTTCCCTGCAACAGTGATTCAATCTAAACAGATGTATTATCCAAAGTTTAAAAATAGGATCCCTAAGACTTCATAGCGCCAGCCTGAAACAGCCAATAATGGAGTGCTAGGATCCAATGATGTATTTTGGGGGAGAAAAATAAAAGGCAATCATCTATTTATTACTCACTTTTTTTTTTCTCCAGTAGTTTAAGACGGTTTATGACTAATCGCAAATTGACTCGTAAACGCTCAGCTTTAAATCCAGAGCCCAGCATGCTGTGCTGTTCCTCCTGAAAAGAAATAAGCAGCACAGTAACTATTTTGACTATTTTCAAATTAAAATTAGTTCAGAAACTAACACCCATTAGAGGATGGATTATTTGACACTATAAACCACAGTGCTTTCCCTAATACAGACAAGTGACATGATCTGATTCACATTTTTAAAAGATCTTTTTGGTCCTGGCCAGTGTGGCTCAGGTGGCTGGAGTGTCATATCCCATAAAGCAAAAGACTACAGGTTCAATTCCAGGTCAGGGCACAACATCTGGGTTATAGGTCCAGTTCCCGGTCAGGATGCATGGGAGAGGCAACCAATCGATGTTTCTCTCTCACATTGATGTTCTTCTCCCCCTCTCTCCCTCCCTTCTCTCTCCCTAAAAGCAATGAGAAAAATGTCCTCAGGTGAGGAAAAAAAATTTAAAGTATTAAAAAATACAAAAATCTTTTTGGCTGTTGTGTAGAAAACTGACTGCAGGAGAATAATAATGGAAGTGAGAGGACAAGGGAGACTATTACTATATTCCAGACAACAGATGGAAGCAGCTTAGACTAGAGTAGTTGGCAGAAGTACTCAGATTTGAGATTTATTTGGAAGGCAAAGCTGAAAGAACTTGCTGACATATGAAATGAGTATCCATGTACTGGTGTAGGAGTGGGGTAATAAAAAGACAAAGAAGCTGGAAGGTCTGCTTCTCCCAAAAATCTCACCTTAAAACAAAGCTACTCTTCTAAGATCGGGAAGAAGAAAATAATACCAACTGTCACCACTGTTATTCAACATAGTACTAGCCAGAGCACTCAGGCAAGAGAAAGAAATAAAGGCATCCAAATTGGGAATGAATTAGTAAAATTGTCACTTTCTGAAGATGACATGATTATATACGCAGAAAACCCTAAGATCACACCAAAAGACTATCAGAAATAGAGCAAAGCTGCAGGACACAAAAATCAATGTACAAAAATCCCTTGTGTTCCTATATACTAACAATGAAATATCAGAAAAACAAAACAATTCCATTTGTATTTGAAACAAAAAGGATAAAATTATTAGGCATAAACTTAAAAAAGGAAGTGAAGAATCTATACACTGAGAACAAGACATTACCAAAGGAAAATGACACAAATAAATGGAAACATACCCCTTGTCCATAGATTGCAAGAATCAACATAATTAAAATAGCCATATTACCTAATACAATATACAGATTTAATGTTGCTCCCATACCAAAAGCATTAAAAAAAAAAAGACATCAAGTTTGTATGGAACCATGAAAAAGCCCAAACAGCACAAAAAAACAAAACCAGAGGTATTGTACTCCCTGACTTCAAATTATACTACAAAGCTGCAATAATCAAAACAGTGTAGTACTAGGAGAAAAGCAGACTCAAAGAGCAATAGAAAAGAACTGAGAGCCCAAATAAACCCACACATATATGGGCAACAGATTTTCAACAAAGGAACCAAAACACAATCTAGAAAAAGGAAAGCTTCTTCAGTTAAGTGGTGTTGGCAAAACCGAAAAACCAAATGCAAAAGAATGAAAGTAGACTGTTATCTGACACCATACTCAAAATGGATTAAAGACTTAAATATAAGACCTGAAACAATAAAACCCCTAGAAGAAAATATAGGCACTCAAGTTAGAGATCTTGGTCTCAGAGAGGCTTTAGTGAACTTAACCCCAAAGGCAAAGGAAGTAAAAGCCAAAATAAATGAATGGGACTACATCATATTAAAAAGCTTCTGCAAAGCAAAAGATGCCACCAACAAAACAAAAAGGCAGAAGATTCATAAACGATACCTCCGAAAAGAGGCTAATCCCAAAATATGTAAAGAACTCATACAATTCAACAAGAAAACAAACAATCCTATTAAAAAAATGGGCAGAGGAAATGATCAGACTCTGTTCCCATGAAGATATACCAGTGGTCAACAGATGTAGAAAAAGATGTTCAACTTCACTAGCTCTAAAGGAAATGAAATTCGAAACCACAAGATATTTCAATGCCACCTCAGACCTGTCAGAATGGCTATTATCAATAAGACAAAAAATAACAAGTGCTGAAAAGGACGTGGGTAAAAGGAACCCTCATACTGCTGGTAAGAATGTAAACTGGTACAGCCACTATGATAAACAGTATAGAGGTCCCTCAAAAAAAAAAAAAAAATCTCAGGACTTCCGCTAAGATGGAGGTGCAGGTGGAAGCACTGTGCCTTCTCGCACAACCAAGTTTAAAAACAACAAAGTTTTAGCAACAAAAACGCAGCCAAACCGCAGAAAATTGAACTATACGGAAGTCTGACAACAACAAACCCTTCAGCCAAACCGGTAAGAGGGGCAGAGCCAGGAGCACAGCAGGCTTGGGCAGGAAAGATCCACTGACCAACACGGGTGCAAGACCCAGGCACACCAGCACCCGTGGGCGGATCCCAGGTATGGAGTAGTGGGCGGACCCACTGAAAGCTGACCGTGGTCACACATTGGTGCGCAGATAAACCGGTGAAGGAGCAAGTAGTGGCATGAACCACGCAGGCCCCTGCGGCAGGAAGCAGCAGAGGGGACCACCATTGTCTCTCTCTGACCCTGCCCCCACATACTGCGTCACAAACCAGCGACCTGGTGGCCCTGCCCTGGTAAACAACTAAAGCTCTGCTCCTCATACCTAACAGGCACAAACAGATCAAAACATGGCTCAACAACAACTCAGAGCCCCATAGCCAATAATCTAAGCAATGAAAAATAGCCAAACTTTCAGATGCACAGTTCAAAACACTGGTGATCAGTATGCTCACAGAACTGGATGATTTTAGTCACAAATTAGAGGAACATATGAAGGCTAAACTAATTGAAATGAAGGGAAATGCACAGGAAACCAATAGTAATGAAAAGGAAACTGGGACTCAAATCAATGGAGTGGACCAGAAGGAGGAAAAAAATGACCAAAGAGAAAAGAATGAAGAAACAAGAATTCAAAAAAAAAAAAAAAAATGAGGAGAGGCTTAGGAACCTCCAGGACATCTTTAAACGCTCCAACATCCGAATTATAGGGGTACCAGAAGGGGAAGAGGAACAGCCACCAGTGGAAAACTTATTTGAACAAATAATAAAGGAGAACTTCCCCAATATGGCAAAGGAAATAGACTTTCAGGAAATCCAGGGAGCTCAGAGAGTCCCAAAGAAGTTGGACCCAACAAGGAACACACCAAGACGCGTCATAATTATATTACTCAAGATTAAAATGAAGGAGAGAATCCTAGAAGCAGCAAGAGCTAAGGGGACAGTCACCTACAAAGGAGTTCCCATCAGACTGTCAGCAGATTTCTCAAAAGAGACCTTACAGGAAAGAAGGGGCTGAAAAGAAGTATTCCAAGTTATGAAATCCAAAGACCTACATCCAAGATTGATCTATTCAGCAAAGCTTTCATTTAGAATGGAAGGGCAGATAAAGTACTTCTCAGATAAGGTCAAATTCAAGTTCATCGTCACCAAGCCCCTATTATATGAAAAGTTAAAGGGACTTACCTAAGAAAAAGAAGATAAAAAAGATGAACAGTGAAAGGACAGCAAAGTCACAGTTATTAACAACCACACCTAAAACAAAAGCAAACTAAGAGGATAGCTAGATCAGGAGCAGAACCATAGAAATGGAGATCACATGGAGGGTTAGCAACAGGGAAGTGGGAGGAGGAGAAGGGGGGAGAAGGTACAGAAAATAAGTAGCATAGATGGTAGGTAGAAAATAGATAAGGGGAGGGCAAGAATAGTAGGGGAAGTATAGAATCTAAAGAACTTGAGACATGTGGTCATAAACTAAAGGGGGGAAATGGTGGGGGAGGGGGTGTGCAGGGTGGAGGGGAATGAAGGGGGAAAACAGAACAACTGTAATGGCATAATCAATAAAATATATATATATATTTTTCAGGATAAAGCTACCATAAGACACAGCAATCTCTCTTCTGGTATCTACCCTAAATACTGATAAGTATATATACATATATCCCTGTGTTCACTGCAGCATTATTCACAGTAGCCAAGACACAGAAACCTAAGTGTCCTTTTTTTTGTTAAGACTTTATTTATTTATCTTTAGAGGGGAAGGGAAGGAGAGAGGGAGAGAAATATCAATGTATGGTTGCCTCTCATGTGTCCCCTGCTGGGATCTGGCCTGCAACCCAGGCATGTGCTCTGACTGGGAATCAAACCGGGATCCTTTGCTTCACAGGCCCGCACTCAATCCACTGACTACACCAGCCAGGGCCCTAAGCATCCTTTCATGCATGATTGGATATTGGGTTGGCCAACTTTGTCTTCAACTTCATTTGAAACAATTTTGTTACACCGTACTATGACAGCTGTCATATCAATGTTCATTTTTTAAAAATCAAAATTGGTAAACTTCTGTGTAGCCATTTTAATATTGAAGATAGAAGAAAATAAGCAACTTTTTTTGGCATATTATGCTTTATTATTTCAAGAAACATAAAAAAGGCAACTGACCCTGGCTTGTGTGAGTCAGTGGATTGAGTGCCAACCACCAAACCAAGGGTTGCTGGTTTGATTCCCAGTCAGGGGACATACTGGGTTGCTGGCCTCTGTAAGGGGCATGCAAGAAGCAACCACACACTGATGTGTCTCTCCTTCTCTTTCTCCCTCCCTTCCCCTCTCTCTAAAAATAAATCTTTAAAAAAATGCAACTAAAACACAAAAACAGGTCTGTGCAGTGTGTAGAGAAGGTGCTGTGATGAGGAACATGTCCAAAGTGGTTTGTGAAGTTTTGTGCTGGAGATTTCTTACTGGACAATGCTCCACAGACCAGTTGAAGCTGATAATGATCAAATAGATACATTGAGAACAATCAATGTTATATAACACAAGAGATACCCAACATATTCAAAATATCCAAATCAATATAGTTATTGGTGAAAAGAAAAAATGTGTGTCTTATTTTACAGAAAAAGACCATATGGACCTTTTGGCCAAGCCAATACAATGAAATACTACTCATC